CACTTGTTAACAGGAGCCAATGTGGTGTAACAATTACAGTGTTGGGCTAGGACCTGGGTGACCTGGGTTCCAATCCCCATTCACCCATGAAGTTCACTGGGAGACCCTGGGCCATCTTAGACTAAACTACCTCACAGGGTTGTTGTGAGGATGAAATGGGGAGGAAGAGAACCATGTACACCACCTTGAGCTCCTTAGAAGAAAAAGGTAGTCCACAGAAGTAAGTATAATAATTCCATTAGCAACTATGGCTTGATCTATCAAGAGAAATGTTGCCATGGTTATGAAATTATTTTGTGAATCATTTTTGGAGGGAGTTATTGCATGTTTTCTGTTTCAGTATAAATGACTATACAGACCTTCACAATTTATGATGCATCACACCAAACGTACTGTGATCTGCTATGTGCTTGATACCCCTTTCCCCTGCACCCTCCATTTTTATAGTCCCAGGATGGCACAAAGCCAAGTTTGTTGACCCACAGTGAACAAGCACACCTGGCTGACAGGCTTTGTGCAGTTGTACATCTTCCAGTCCAGATCTATGAAATTAGACTTTAACAAACGGATGGGAAAATAATCCCGGAAAAAATATATGCCACTTGCCATGTATCAACAACTTTGTGTGCCCACTTAGCATGCTGTCGCCTGTGCCAGTGCGCTACTAGTAAGATAAATGGGTGAGTGGAGTAACTCGCACAGCAATGTAACGTTGCTCAACTGAACAAGCTTGGAAGGCAAGGATTTACCTGAAACAATAATCTAGTCTCGTTTACTGGAAGGTCAGACAGGGATTGAGTCTCTATATTAGGCATAAACAAGCCAATTCCAAGTCTTCCCCCCTCCCCCAATGTCTGCTGCTTGGGATGCTACAGTCGATAAGAAGCAAACAAGTATCATCTGTACAAATGCCATTTCCCCCTTAGGCTAGGACCCGAACCAATGGCTCCAAAGGACAAGAAAGGAGATTCCGACTAAACATCAGGAAGAAATTTCTGACAGCAAGAGCTGTTTGACAGTGGTACAGACTCACTCAGGAGGTTGGGGACTCTCCTTCCTTGGGAGGTTTTTAAGCAGAGGTTGGATGGCCATCCGTCAAGGATGCTTCAGTTGAGATTCCTGCATTGCAGGGGGTTGGACTAGATGATCCTTGGGATCCATCCTAACTCTACGATTCTATGAAAACATCGGATTGAAGTCACTTCGGTGGCATAACATGGAGCAGACATTGTGCTTACAAGGCAGGCAGGGGCAGAAATATGTCTCCCTTGCAACCCCCGACCCGTGTTCTCTCTGCCACTTCTGCTGCTGCTGCTGGAAGACCCCCACCCCACCCCCTCGAGAGGTGAGGGCATTCCACAAGGCCTTGCTGCTCACCTTCTCTGCCCCAGGGGTGGTGAAGACGAGTGCCATCACCATGTGTTGGAAGGCTCCCCTGTCTTGCAGAAACCCAGCATGAGGCAGGGGGTCATTCCAGTGGAAACAGTGGGGCGCTGCCTCTTGCTGCTTCACCCCATCTTATTGGCTGTGTCCAGGGGGCAGTGATCCCCATTTCAGATTAAAGCTGCCGCCGGTCATGAGGCCCTTCTTCCTGTGCTCCCCCCATAAGGTCCAGAGGGGAGCCTTTTCTGCGGTAGCTTCCCATTTGTGGAATGCTCTCCTCAAAGAGGCTCACTTTCCACCTCCATGAAGGAAAAACATTAACATTCCATGGCCTTTTAAATGTTGGGGGCGTATGAGTTTGTATTCTTGTTTTTGTTTTATTATGTATTTTGTGTTTCACCCGGTGATCTTCCGGTGGTGGGCGGTGTTGTAAACAAAAATCTGCCCTTTTCCCCTTATGGGGTATCCAAGAGCCTATATAGAGTCCTTACATAGGTTCCCTATTGGTAGGAGAGAATAACAGAGGCCAACCAGAGAATATTGAGAAGCAAAGCAGCTAGTAAGCTTGATTTTTATTGATCTGTTGCAACAGGGTGCTCCCCTCACCCGCAGGAGAGACGAGGAACCCAGAAAAATAGTGTGCAAGGCCTTATAAAGACTTTTGAAATTGCCACCCTATAGATCAAGACCACCCCCAGAAACATCATACATACATCACAGAAGGGGTGTAACCTAAAACCCCTCAGATACATCACACCTACATCACAAAAAGGCTGTCTAAAACAGAACATTTGAATGTTGTTTTTTCTCCTGTCCTTGTTTATCTCCTGTCTGGCAGGTTACTTGCCTGGATTGCCTGGGGAGCCTGGCGATTTTTTGTAGTGATAAATAGGCTCACACCCTATTCAAACACAGACACACCCTTAAGACAGGATTTGTGAAGGAAAAGACAATGGGGAGCCTTTTCCATTTTCCTTTGACCTTGCAGAGAAAACATTTGCTCAGTTTGGGATTCAAAATGGTTCCAGGTCGGTCTTGCTGTGCTGATCTATGTACGTGCTTGGTTGGGAACATTTATTATATATCGAAGACTTTAAAATTCTTATCACAGCTGCATTACAAAATTAACAAATAATAAATAAAGCCCCCCGAGCACAGCTAGGCTGCTCCGCGCACCTGGAGGGAGCGCTGGTGCCCAAACGCGGCGCTTCAGGCCACAGCTAATTAGGACCCCGCCTACCAAACGGAGGCCTTTCGATTGGAAGGGAACGATTGCGCGCTTGCATGCGATTGGCTGATCGCCCTCCCCCTCCAAGCCAGCCAATAGAATTCCGCCCACCATGAGGTGACTGGAAGGCGGGAGCTGAGTGGCTGGTCGGCTGGCTTCGACGCGCGCAGCTCCTCAGAGGCCAATCCGGAGCACCGGCAACCAGCCCCGCCCCCGAGGTGGATTGATTGATTGATCGATTGATTGTCCTTCTTAAGAAACATTTCGTCCCATTAGCGGTTATCCATTCGCAGGCACGTGGCGCGCGCGGGGCCTTGTGGGATGCGTAGTTCCACCCCGTCTGCAGAGCTGAGGGAAAGATGAGCGGGGGAAAGAATAGTAGAGGCGTGGCTTCCGGGGAGGTTTCCGAGGCTGGCCAGGCGCGAGCGACGCTCACCGAGAAGCCGAGGCGGGGCTCGCGGACTACATTTCCCATCAGGCGTGCGCTTCCGCCCGGCGCCTTCGTTTCCGGCCAGGCCAGGAGGGCGGGCGGAAGCCTCGCGACGAAGCTCTCCCGCCCCTTCGCCATGGCGTCCGGCTGCCGCGTCGGCCCGTCCATCCTCAACAGCGACCTGGCGGCCCTGGGCGCCGAGTGCGGCCGGATGGTGGATTGCGGAGCCGACTACCTGCACCTGGATGTAATGGACGGGTAACTGCGCCGCGGACCGCGAAGGGGAGGCCGCCCCGGAGGCGAAAGAGGGGGAACACGGCGGGGGCGCGCGCAGCCCGCGCTTCCGGTTAAAAGGACCCCCCCCCCGCCCCGCGACAGTCCTGTAGATTTAATTTTTTCTTAGGCTGGTTAAGACATACAGTACCTATTAAGAGAGTACTATGCGCATTCCAGTCTAGCAAATCTAATATAGTCAATCTGCCTCATAGTCTACTCCATTCAATCTAATCCAGATTCAGGTAGGTAGCCGTGTTGGTTGGTCTGATGCAGTCGAAATTGAAAATTAAAAAAAAAAAAAGTCCAATAGCACCTTAGAGACCAACTAAGTTGTTCTGGGCATAAACTTTTGTGTGCACGCACACTTGAGATACGAAAGCTTATACCCAGAACAACTTAGTTGGTCTCTAAAGTGCTGCTGGACTATTTTTTTTACTCCCCCCCCCCCAATCTAATCCAATCCATCTAATCTGATTTTGTTTATCTATCTGGTATTTAATAGAATCAACCGATTTAATATAATCAGCTAATCATTTTTTTTAATAATCAACCAACCTATATATTAATCTACCCAGTCTGATCTAATCCATTAATCTGATTATTTGGATCTATCTAAAAAGATAAGGGGACCCCTGACCATTAGGACCATTAGGGGTTGCGGCGCTCATCTCACTTTATTGGCCGTGGGAGCCGGAGTACAGCTTCCAGATCATGTGGCCAGCATGACTAAGCCACATCTGGCAAACCAGAGCAGCGCACGGAAACGCCGTTTACCTTCCCGCCGGAGCGGTACCTATTTATCTACTTGCACTTTTTAGCATGCTTTCGAACTGCTAGGTTGGCAGGAGCAGGGACCGAGCAACGGGAGCTCACCCCGTCGCGGGGATTCAAACTGCCGACCTTCTGATTGGCAAGTCCTAGGCTCTGTGGTTTAACCCACAGCGCCACCTGCGTCCCTTTTATCTACCTGGATAATCTAATCTGTCCATCTAATCTAGCTTTCTGGCTTTATCTATTTAATGTCATTAATCAACCCACCTGTTAATCTACTCTACTCAGTCTAATACAATCTATCTAATAATCTGACATATTTATCTATTAATCCATTCCAATCTATTAATCTGATTTTATCAACCTAATCGATTAGTGTTGTCAAATTATCAAATCTGTCTCCCCTAGTGAGCGTTTGTTGGGTTTGGTGAAATGGAGCAAGTCTTGTCTGAAATCTTGTGGCAAGTTAGACACAAGCAAGATTTATTGTGCATAGAAAGCACGTCAAAGTGTGAGTAGATAAATAGGAAGGTAGGGAGCCGGTCATGTGGCCAGCATGTGACCAGAGCAGCACACGGAAACGCCATTTACCTTCCCGCTTGCACTTTGACGTGCTTTCAAACTGCTAGGTTGGCAGGAGCAGGGACCGAACTACAGGAGCTCACCCCATCGTGGGGATTCGAACCGCCGACCTTCTGATCGGCAAGTCCTAGGCTCTGTGGTTTAACTCACAGTGCCACCCGCGTCCCTAATTTTACATTAATCCCTGATTAATTTCAATTTGCTGTTTCCATAGAGCTTTTAATAAAGTTCTTTGATTTTCTGTGGAAATGGTTAATCCACATTAAATGGAAAAATCATATAGGATAGCATTTTGATGAAAATGTTGTGTGAATGCTGCATAAAATCTGCATGCATGCACCAAATAAATAAATTGTTAAGTGGAAGCACCACATACATATTTGCTCCTTCCCTTCTTCCTTGCAGGACTGGGAACATTCTTGGTTATATTAGTTAAGTGTAAAAGAAGTGGTGACTTGTGTAGCATTTTTCTTTAAAATTATATATTAAGTATACAAAATCTTTAAATGTGCTTTTAGTTAGTAGCTATATGCTAGCTGTAGAACTAAAATGGAATACAGCATGTGGGCATAATACATTTTCTCACTATCCAATGCACTTTATTTTTAATGGCATAACTGGGCATCTCATAGGTAGAGTGGCATCTTGTGGCTAGAAATGCTACTTCTCAGCAAATGCACATCAGTTGTCTTTTGCACTTCAGCAATGTTTTGAATTGCCATTCCGGTAAAAGGCAAATTTCATTACCCATAATACAGTCCACAGAACTTTACTGAGTAAAGTTTGGTATAACTATATTGGAGTGAGGGAAAAGATTGTATTTTGCGTTACGGCTTGGTTGACAATTTGCAGGCACTGTGCATGTTCGTCTCTTGTTGCTTTTAAAGAAACTACTACTTCAGAATGTACACCTACAATGTGGTTTCCTCTAGCAGCCACAACAAAATTTGTGCAAGTTTTATTGGCAAGGAACCTGTTTCAGCAAATGCATTTCTTCATGCATACATCTGGAGCAAAACAACAAGTTTTCTGCAACATACCGTATTCTAAAACATAATTGTGTCTGAAAATGCAGTGCAAGAGTCATGCATTCTGTCTTCACTTTTATCTGTTCATTCAGTGTACAGTTGATCAGGATCATGCTCCTAGTCTCCTCTAATATCTGCAGGTCCAGTGGAAAATGAGAGTGGGTTGTGTAGGGTTCCCAGTACATGGAATAACCTATGTGCATAAACCTTTTTCACTCACTAGCCCAGGGGTCTGCAACCTTTAAGACAAAAAGAGCCACTTGGACCCGTTTCCAAAGAAAAAAAACTGGGAGCTGCAAAACTCGTCATTATAAAAATAACTTTTTTGTCACTTTTTTTTATTATTTCTTTGTTTGACCCCTCAGAATTACTCCTCCTCATAGAAATAAACATTAAATTAACAAGTTACCTTTTTGTGTGAGTGTGTTCTTCACTCCCCTTCAAAACAGTGACCAGCGTACATGCCCCCTTTCAATGCAGTGACCAGCGTACATGGCCCTTACAATGTAGCGGGTGGGCGGGCGGGAAGGTGATGTCGGGACGGTGCGTGACTAACGCACGCACCGCCCCCATGCGACGTCACAGCCAGTACAGCACCCGCCACAGTGGGGAGTGTCGGGGCGCACAATGCGCCTCCTCCCCTCGCTAGTATCCGCCCCGGAGCCGCGGCAAAGGTGTAAAAGAGCCACATGCGGCTCCGGAGCCGCGGGTTGCGGACCCCTGCACTAGCCCAAAGCATGTTGGCACCCAAGGTAGATCCCAAAATGGCACTCCACTTACTACATAAGGAAAGAAGGGGCCAAGGAAGATCTGCATCAGAAACAAGGGTGTGGGGAGAAATGTCAACACTGGGACCTGCTGCCCCGGTGGACCCTGAGGCCATTGACTCACTTTTCCTCGTGGGTGGGGCATCCCTGTGGGGTTGTCTGCGAGAAGTAGACTAGGGCTACAATGTAACCCTCTTCAAATAAGCAGCATCAGGGTGGTGTGTGCGCACGCTAAAAGAAATCGTACTGGCCTGGTTCTGTTCTTTTGTTGTATAAACATGCTTCAGGGTGCAGATAAATATGCAAACCCTATTGAAGTTTGAGAGGTGTGTTGGTGTGTATGTAGTCTGCAATTCTCTAGATGGTCTGTATAAATCCCTCAAGAATCCTCAAGAAAGAGGGATAGGAAGTTAAATGTATGTAAGCTGCAAGTCACCTGTACTGAATTGTGGGGCGTTTAAGATTTCTCGATAGCAGTATAAAATCAAAGCTGAAAGCAATTTCCATTCTAAAATTGACTGACACTTATAGTAGTATAGAACTAAATAGAACTATTTTTTCAAAACCTTAAAATAAATTATCTTTCTTATTTCCCCCCCAATTGGGTAGGCATTTTGTACCAAACATCACTTTTGGCCACCCTGTTGTAGAGAGCCTTCGGAAGCAGCTGGGTCAGCAGCCCTTCTTCGGTAAGGCATTTGTTTTTTTAAAATGTTTGAATGTCTGCCTCAAGATTCTCAGAAGCAAAACTGGAGTTTCATTTTACCTTCTTAGCAGCCAGCATTGGCACTTTATCATGTACTAGAAGGCTTCAGCTAACATGTCTCCCATGAATTACATTAAAGGTAAAGGGACCCCCGACCATTAGGTCCAGTCGTGGCCGACTCCGGGGTTGCAGCTCATCTCACTTTATTGGGTGAGGGAGCCGGCATACAGCTTCCGGGTCATGTGGCCAGCAGGACTAAGCCGCTTCTGGCGAACCAGAGAAGCGCACGGAAACGCCGTTTACCGTCCCGTCTGAGCAGTACCTGTTTGATAATAATTTTCCTGCTAATGATTCTGTGGTATTTTGAAACAAAAACAGCCAACAAATGTGATGAGATTTGTAGAATCAGTGCACTTTAGTAATTTCTTTTAGCCAGAACATTAAACACTCTGGCATTACACTGACATATTCTGCAACACACAAGGAATAGAAATAAATATTTTTTAAAGTGCTCTTAGCCTACATATACAGGTAGCAACCATTTTAGGCACGTCCAATTGGTGCACTATTACCGTGTTTTGGATCTGGTGGGGCCCGCTTATATACACTTCACAGACATGCCAGGAACAGAACCCGGCACAAAATGCTCTAAAGAATGCTTGTTCTTTGCCCCTGCATTGTTGGACTTTTAAACAAATCATTGAGAGCTGGCCACTGAAAAGCCTACATTTTGAGAGGAGGGACCATAGGTGGTTTCTGCTGCTTCCAACTCCAAGAAGTTATAGAAAGTGAGGCATCTCTCTAGGTAGCCATACACTGTGGCTTCCAACAAGATTTGAGTGCAGTTTAAGTGCACGTGTTTTGCTGTATAAATTATGAGAGCATGCTTGAGGTAGCGATTCAGTAAATGTGCTGTTTTCATGTTTCTGATCTACTTGGTTCTTTCTAGATATGCATATGATGGTTGCTAAGCCAGAACAGTGGGTGAAGCCTATGGCTGTAGCAGGTGCCAATCAATATACCTTTCACATAGAAGCTACCAACAATCCAGGGGCACTCATTAAGGACATAAGAGAAAATGGGATGAAGGTGAGAAGTTTGGTGCGCTAAACAGTTTAACGGCTTTTGGGGCTACTTTGTAAGCGTTTCCTTAAACCACTGAAAGATGAAGCACTTTGTCTGAATTACAGCTGCGAGCATACTTTACTCTTAAACAAAAAACACCCAACCCCTTTTAGTGTGTTTGGTTGGTTTTTTGTTTTTGCAGCCCCCTTTTTTTAAAAAAAAAAATGCCCTCAACAGAGCATGCATCTTCTGCTTATTTGAGGCATTGTTTGGGGCATTTCTTCTAATTTGGAAGGAGACAAAGCTGAGACCATTCATTCATGTATACCGTATTTTTTGCACCATAGGACGCACTTTTTCCCCGCCAAAAATGAAGGGGAAATGTGTGTGCGTCCTATGGTGCGAATGCAGGCTTTCGCTGAAGCCTAGAGAGTGAGAGGGGTCGGTGCGCACTGACCCCTCACACTCTCCAGGCTTCGCACACCTCTCCGCAAGCAGCGGGAGCCCAGCCCTGGGCTCCCGCTGCTTGCGGAGACTTGCCTGCATGCTGAAGCCTGCGCGCGCTCAGCTCAGCGCGTCCAGGCTTCGCGGACCTCTCCGCAAGCAGCGGGAGCGCTCCCACAGCTTGCAGAGAGCTGCCTGTTTGGGGGCTGGGGTCAGGGGAAGTTCGAGCTTCCCCAGCCCTGCGCCTGGGGGGGAAATAATTTTTTTCCCTTTATTTCCCCCCAAAAAAACTGGGTGCACCCTATGGTCCGGTGCGCCCTATGGTGCGAAAAATACGGTAAATGTTGCAGGCAACCACCAATTCCAGATAGCCAATTCTAATTTTTTAATTGGGAGTGCTTGAGTGCTCCATAGCTGATGCAGAACTAGCTGATCCCAGCCAAGTCTGATTGGAAGGAGGCTTGGCAGAGCAGTGAGCCACACATAGACAGAGTGAAGTCTCTTCCATGGCTATACACTTGGGCTAGTGAGAACATTTAATTATCTGTTTTTCTTGTAGCAGGCTCAGAGTTCATGCAACACGCAGTTTAGGAACTCCTGCCTTAGGTAGTAGACTGCAGCTAATTTCTTAAGGGCATGTGCAATTCGGCAACTGCCTGTGTTTCTTGACAATCTAATTTAGATTATACTTGAGTTGAGTGCACTCAAGTATAATCTAAACTATACACCTGGAAAACAGCAAGCACATTTCTCTTCAAATGTCCATACAGTTCAAGAATTTTATAATGCTCTCATCATCATTGTGTGGTAATGGTGGCACAATTTTAACTGAATTATATATTTGGAAAGAGGCATTGTATATTTGGAAAGAGATCGCAAGATACTATTTAATCACTGGAAATGTAAAATCAATGCTTACATTAGGTTTTGAAGAGCTTAAAAGGTAAAGGGACCCCTGACCATTAGGTCCAGTCGTGACCGACTCGGGTTGTGGCGCTCATCTCGCTTTATTGGCCGAGGGAGCCAGCGTTTGTCCTCAGACAGCTTCCGGGTCATGTGGCCAGCATGACTCAGCCGCTTCTGGCGAACCAGAGCAGCGCACGGAAACAACTTTTATTCATATGCAGATATGGCAGAAAAATGAACTTATGAAGACAACACTGGGTACTGATCTCCTTTGCCCAGGAGGAAATGATCACTGTTGAGTTAGTGGGAATCATGTCATAGCTTTCTTTTGTAAAAGTGATTTACTGCTAATCCAAGATGTAGGTTCAGTTAATATATAATAATCTATTGTGTTTCTATAGGTTGGTTTGGCTATCAAGCCAGGAACTACAGTAGAATATTTAGCGCCATGGGCCAATCAGATAGACATGGCCTTAGTTATGACTGTGGAACCTGGATTTGGTGGACAGAAGTTCATGGAAGATATGATGCCAAAGGTAGATTTGGACATTTATTATTTTGAGTACAGCAGCTGTGAATATGGTAGGATTATGGAAAATGTTTTGAATGTTTTCATAGTAGAGTGCTGTTATACTAAGGATTGATGCCTAGTTTTTGCACACATGGAGGGAGACCAGAGATTACAGCTCCTGTGACTTGGTAATAATGTTATTTCTGTGAACTAGGTTCATTGGCTGAGAACACAGTTTCCTTCCTTGGATATTGAAGTGGATGGTGGTGTAGGGCCAGATACCATTCATAAATGTGCAGAGGTAAGACTAGCAGCTTTCAGAAACAGAATAGTTGAATATTCTTGCACCTTTGAGAAATTCTGAATGCCCTTTCTCTACTGATGAGCAGCAAGGAGAATATAAAGTTAGAATGGCAGATCTGACAAGTTGCTTTTAATTTCTTATTGGAATGTACTAGGGCTGCTCACAGCCTGTCACCGTGACCCATGGGGGGCATCAGGTTGACATAGGAACCACCCCAATGTGGGGCAGGGCTTGTTTCATTAGCATTTTCAAATCCTAATTGAACATATAGCCAGGAGAGGGGTGAGGGAAGACGACCTTTTCCTGAGACGAGGTGGTGCTCCCTCTGCTCTACAGCTGTGATTGGGGGGGGGGGGCTTCAGTTTTTCCCATCCTGCTTGCTTCCTGCTTGGTGCCCCACAACCATTGCTCACTCTGAACCATCCAGTCCAACTTGTTGCAATCCAAGGTTACCTGAACCTGACACATCCCTCCAAATAGGCCGAATTTGTCTTGAGCACAGCCCTAGAATGTATTTCATTTACATCATCTCATGAATATAAACATGCAGTAAGTTCTTCTTTTAAAATATAACTGGCTTTTTCCTCTTTGCAGGCTGGAGCAAATATGATTGTGTCTGGGAGTGCTATCATGAAGAGTGATGATCCCAGAGCGGTGATTAATCTCCTGAGGAACGTATGTTGTGAAGCTGCTCAAAAGCGTTCCCTTGACCGATGAAATCAGGTTGCGACTTGGGAGGGCTGCTTTCTTGTATATGTGTAGGTGGGATGTTGTGGAATTATGGTGCTGCTAAAGGAAAACTGCAGGTTTTCCTGTGCTGCAGAGAATATCATCTTGGCAGCTTGGAAGTATATTGGTCCAGTGCTATCCTTTTATTTCAGAAAACTTTGTATTATGCATTACAAAATCAGGGTGCCTCTTGCTTGAAGATTGTATGTGTCAGCTTGCAATCTAAGACAGATGTATTTTGTTCTACATTCAACACAGATTTGTTCATTCCTTAACAACTTAAATGTTTTGAAAATAAACACTGATAAACAAGAGTAACTGATCTTGATAACTAGTTTTTGGTCCAGTTCACTTAGTAAGGTAAATGTAAAGGGACCCCTGACCATTAGGTCCAGTCGTGACCGACTCTGGGGTTGCGGCGCTCATCTCGCTTTATTGGCCAAGGGAGCAGGCATACAGCTTCCGGGTCATGTGGCCAGCAGGACTAAGCCACTTCTGGTGCCGTTTATCCTCCCGCCAGAGCGGTACCTATTTATCTGCTTGCACTTTGACGTGCTTTCGAACTGCCAGGTTGGCAGGAGCTGGGACTGGGCAACGGGAGCTCACCCTGTCCCTGGGATTCGAACCACCAACCTTCTGAACAGCAAGTCCTAGGCTCTGTGGTTTAACCCACAGCGCCACCCACGTCCCACTTAAAGCTCTGTAAATTTAAGGATACAAAATGAAGGGAAGGGGAGATGCAGAAGCAGGAAGTCTGCTTGAAAAAAATATATATAGAAAACAAGAACTTGCAAAATACAGGGATTTCTGAATACAAGCATATGAAAAAGTAATGAGTATTGCTCTAAAATCTTGCTCTAACACCTGTTATACTGAAGGTGCTTTTGTGAAAAAATATTACAATATAAGAATCTCTAAGAAGGTGACAGGGTCACCAATTACTGTATTTTTCGCCCTATAGGACGCACTTTTTCCCCTCCAAAAATGAAGGGGAAATGTGTGTGCATCCTTTGGGGCGAATGCAGGCCTTCGCTGAAGCCTGGAGCTCCGACCCCTCTCGCTCTCCAGGAAGCTACCCCCCCAGCTGTGCGCAACTTCGCCATCGCTCTGGGACCCGTTCTGGGGGCAGAGGTCGGGGGAAGCTCTAGCTTCCCCCACCCCCAGCCCTGCAAGCTCCGAGAGCAATTGCGAAGCTGCGCGCAACTTCGCCATCGCTCTCGGACTCTCCAGGCTTCGCGCAGCTCTCTGCAAGCGGTGGGAGCCCGACACTGGGCTCCCATGGCTTGCGGATAGCTGCCTGTTCTGGGGGCTGGGGTCCAGTTAAGCTCGGGCTTCCCCCGCCCCAGCCCCGCGCCTGGGGGGGGGGAATAAACTTTTTTCCCTTTATTTCACCCCCAAAAAACTAGGTGCGCCTTATGGGCCGGTGCGTCCTATGGGGCGAAAAATACGGTGCTGACTCCCAAGTTAATCCTCTACAAATCTGAAACACTGAAGGGAGGGTGTAAAATAATACTTTCGGGGACAGGTACAGTAGCTGTATGCAGAGGTAAACAGGTGAATTATGATATGGCATCCGGTATTTTACAATAAATACAGAATGTGCTGGATATACAGCCATTTTAGTTGTGACCAATTGGATAAATGGAAGTCGCACACATCAGACAAACTAATTTGTAAGAAGAGTTCTTTGAGAGCTGTAGTATGTCTTTCTAAATATTATAGCCAGAGAAACTTGACCAGTACAGTAAAGAGTTAAGAGTGGTTGCAGATCAGCTCTCCATTTATTATAGGGAGAAAATGAAGTTGGATTTAAGAGTGAACCAAATAAATTTATTTCATTTAAATACACACCCTTTGCTACTCGTGCTATTTTGGTCACATTTAAGAATAGAGTTCTGGCCAGCTCCTAAGTGCACTATTTTCATGACAGTGTTGCAAATAAAGCATCAGAAAAGATTTGGGAGACAGATGCTATGCCCAGGAAGAGTCAACTCTGCTGTTGGCTAGCAGGAGGACAGGTTCAAACACATGGTATACAGATTCTAAGGATACTCTTATCAGGTTGGGGCTGTGTGTGTGTGTGGTAAGAGTAAAGACAAGCTGGCTAATTTATTCTCTAGGGTGCTGTCTATATACATTATTTCAATTTTCTTGCAGTAATCATATTGCTTAAAAAGTTTTGAAGGGCAAACTAAGTAAGAACTGCCACTCTTTAGTCATGGCGCTGCAGTTTCTCTCAAACTGCTACCCAGGCCTGGAAAAAATTCAGAAGAGATAGAAGAGGGAAAGACTAGCCAGCTCATCATCCATTATACAAATATCTGGTGACAAGCCAACAATGTCATGCCATAATCATGATTTGTGATATTACATACAAAATCTGAGCTCCTAAAGGGGTACATGGTTCATCTTTCTGTTCAGCATCTCAATCTATCAACATCACACTGTAGTGTACAGAAATAATTTTTTAATTTTAAAAACTTGCATTTAAAATAGTTGTGTCAGAGATAAGATTAAAAATTTAATTCATTGGACAAAAAGTATTTTTAAAAGTTAAAAACCAAATTTGCAGTAAGCTACAATCTTAACAGTCTGTAGTGTAGAAATGCAACTGAACATTTTTACAATATCCAGTGTACTTCCAGTCCGGGGGGGGGGGGGGGGGGACTACAATTGGACATGGCATTGAAGAAAAGCTTGCTTAACAATTAGGCTTTTCTTAAAACCTTCAACAGACCTTCAACAGAAGAGCTATTTGGTTTCACAGCAGCATACAGTCATATTGCATTAACATCACTGAATGTGATGCTTTTCAACACTTAGCATCACGGGAGGATGCAGGTAACATTCCACACACTGCAATCTGGAATTTGAGTATGAAAATAATGTGGTTTTCCCTCAGTATCTAAAACATTGCTATTGCCTTGTTTGTATTATTGACATTTAATTAAATGTTGTAGTTTTTTAGCTAATGCAAAATATGAAATGGATACTCAGAAATCTGCTCAGGTGTCATATAACAGTTTTTGTAGGCTAGGCAAAGTGTTTAAAATAAGTTGTAATAAAAATGCTAAGTAGCTAAAGTATAGTATTTCTAATTCTTAGTCCTTCCCTGGCACTCAAAAATGAAACATATCCATTGTGAAATTCAGAAAATCAATTATTTCAATTGATTTTTCTTTCCACAAAGCTTTTTGTCTTTCTATAGTAAGAATTGAGTAACCATTCATCACATTTACAGTGCTTGATGTATCACTGGGCAAACCAGATTCCTTAAGAGGACAGTAGACTTGTGTGCTCCTGCCACTTACAAAAACAACTTCTTGGGTAGCTTTTTCTGTGTTCATTTGAAATTGTTGCATAGCTATGGGGGAAAAACCTTATTCTGCTGCACAGCAACCATACGTACATTTAAAATAGGTCTTCCTTTCAGATGTGTAGGCAAAGGTGGTTGCAGTTTAAGAGCATTCACTCTTTACATCTCTTGGGCTCTTATCCTGCCTGTCAAAACTATAAAAAAGACAAAATCTGTGTTGTAATTTAGAATACTGTGAGTCAAAAGCTGTTAGCACTTTTAGGAGCATTAAAATATTTTTACCTTACACATTCTTTCACTTTGGTTAGCTTTCTTGATGAACCGCATTACTTTCTGTCACCTCTGTTTTTTGATGCTGCCAATTCCCAAGTGAACTTGGTTGTACTCTTCCAGCTCATTGGAAGAGCTTTTCTTTTGTGGCTGGTTATTTGGTAAACTGAAGGCAGCATGTGAGGTACAGTCAAAGTCACTGGGGATGGCCGCATCTGAATTCTCTTGCTGATCTGTTATCTGATCTTGGCATAGTAAAGCACCTGCTTCTTCAACCTTTAGTGGAAAAGACCGACGTTCCCAAAGAACAGACTGAAAGGAATGAAAGAGAGAGGAAGAGGTGAATTCAACTGAAAATAAGCAGTAGTGCATTGTTTATCCTCCACTTTATGAACAGTCTTTGTAATTGACAAAAAAATAATGTTGATGTTCTTCACATATTCTCTCTGTAGTACAAACAACCTTCCTGCCTGCTACAAATACAAGATGGGTGACACCTGGCTTGAGAGCAGTACATGTGAAAAGGATCTAGGAGTCTTGGTTGACCACAAACTTGACATGAGCCAACAGTGTGACGCGGCAGCTAAAAAAGCCAATGCAATTCTGGGCTGCATCAATAGGAGTATAGCATCTAGATCAAGGGAAGTAATAGTGCCACTGTATTCTGCTCTGGTCAGACCTCACCTGCAGTACTGTGTCCAGTTCTGGGCACCACAGTTCAAGAAGGACACTGACAAACTGGAACGTGTCCAGAGGAGGGCAACCAAAATGGTCAAAGGCCTGGAAACGATGCCTTATGAGGAACGGCTAAGGGAGCTGGGCATGTTTAGCCTGGAGAAGAGGAGGTTAAGGGGTGATATGATAGCCATGTTCAAATATATAAAAGGATGTCACATAGAGGAGGGAGAAAGGTTGTCTTCTGCTGCTCCAGAGAAGCGGACACGGAGCAATGGATCCAAACTACAAGAAAGAAGATTCCACCTAAACATTAGGAAGAACTTCCTGACAGTAAGAGCTGTTCGACAGTGGAATTTGCTGCCAAGGAGTGTGGTGGAGTCTCCTTCTTTGGAGGTCTTTAAGCAGAGGCTTGACAACCATATGTCAGGAGTGCTCTGATGGTGTTTCCTGCTTGGCAGGGGGTTGGACTTGATGGCCCTTGTGGTCTCTTCCAACTCTATGATTCTATGATTCTACCTCCCCAGAACAACATTATCTTGATGAAGGTTATGAAACCAAGATCTAGTGCCTCCTATCTTGAGGCCTTTTGCAATCCAATCCCTGAATTCTCAGAACAAAGCTTACTATGTTTAATGGGATTTACTTAAAGGAAAGTGCATTTGATTTCAGTCATGCAGGGTAATTCTATACATATCTACTCAGAAGTAAGCCCCACTGGGCTAGATTTGTAGTATTACACCCCACAGTGAGTTCAGGACTGAGGTAAGGGATGACCAGGGATTTTCTAGCTCACATTCTTAGTGACTGCTACATAGCACAATTAAAAACAGTATAGTATAGTCAACAAAAAATACTAGCTTTAATTTGTTTTTAAAAAAATTAATAAAAAAAACAAACCCACCACCACAATGTGGACCTTTAAATTAGTTTTACACTTTTAATACATATAATGCTAAATAATTTAAAGCAAAAAGATTTGTAGATAGCAGGTTTTGGTCCCTTCTGTCAGTGCAACTCAAGTTAACACACCCAGCTATTACTAAATATATATATATATATATTACCTTTGTTTTTTGGTTTTTTTCTGAAGACTGTGACTCCCTAAGGCAGAGAGAACTGTGGATTTCTGAAGTAGCGTCAGCAATGTTTTCAGAAAAATCAGATATTAAGTCAGTGTTGCCTTGTTTTTCTTTCAATGGTGGATCTTGTCCGTCAGAACTTCTGCTATATGTTCTATTAATGAGACAAAGCTCCAGTTTTTTCCAAACAGAAACCATCTAATGGAAAATAAGATGCTGTCATATTTTAAGGGGGTAGAATTAAAATTTCTTAATATTTTGAAAGGAAAACCCAAAAATTGAATGCAGACAACTGTATACAAGCAATTCCCTATTTATGTGGGTGTTGCATTCCAAGGCACCATACAGTTACGGTAAGTGAAATCACATATATGGGGAAGACCACTGAAAAAGCCTGCAAACCACCTCTAAACCTCTGGAAACCCTTGAAAAGCCCTTTAAAAAAACAAAACTCCACCACAATCGCTCCCTCCAAACTTCCTTCCTCAGACTCCCAACTTTCCACAGGCCTGAGGTTGGTGCAAAGGCTCATGGAATTGCACTTGCAAAGGCTTGTAGGATTGCTAGGCATTTTCGTTTTTGCACTCTTTTAGGGCAATTTTTGCAGGGTTTGCAGCAATGCGTACAATCATGCATGCCTTGAATGTGCATAAATGGAAAGTTGCCTGTATAAGAAATCTTGCATTTAAGAGTAGCAAAGTGTAGGACCCTCCTGTGGTGCTGTCTTACCACATCCTTTTCTATAATCTTTACTGGGACAGGGCATTAAACAGCATTTAATAAACACTTTCCTTAGTTATTCAAAGTTGTGTGTGAAACATGCAATATATTTTAGTGAAATTTTAATATCGCTATTTGAGCAATAATAGTTCCAGAAAAATATCATATCATACGTTTGGTTTCTTAGGATAACTGGCTATGAGGCTGCAAGTTCTTGGTAAAGGACCCCTGGACGGTTAAGTCCAGTCAAAGGTGACTATGAACCAGAGGGAGCCGGCATTTGTCCAAAGACAGCTTTCCAGATCATGTGGCCAACATGACTAAACCATTTCTCTTATATAGGTATCAACCTGCCTGTTCCTTCTGGGCCATCGACACTGTTGCCACAGCGACCACCGTGCTCTCTCTTTGTCTTCATAGTTTGCATGACGCGAAGCATAGGCATCATCTGACAGATCTTCTGCCTAAATATTAAAGTGCCCAGATTATAAACATTGTTTATAAGGGGAAGAGGGGAAATGATGTTGTATCAACTGTCGTGATGCTGGATCTTGCCCAGAGTCTTGTGGCACCTTAAAGCCTAGCAAAATTTATTGTAGCATAAGCTTTTGTGGAAAAACCAAAAGGAAATCAAACCAATCAACAAAAACTGCAAAAAAGCAACCTAGATGTATGTCTATAAAACACATTTTATAGCTATACAAATTTAAAACTTGACACATCTCTAGAACATACATTAATTTTTTGGTAAGAATAAAACACCAATGTTTCAACCGTAAAAAGACACAATTCTTTCACAGGTTATTTTACTATCCTGGGCAGAGTATTACTTTAAAATGTTTATACAGTATGTGAAACTGATACTGGTCAATTTCTGGTCAGAACGTGTATTTTAGTGCTACATGAAGCTGTTTATACAGGCAACTCCCGGTTTAGGTGCGTTAGATGCGCAATTGCCCCAAACCTGAAGTAGCCCCAATACATCATAAATACGTCATGAAAGGGGGCGGAGCTGGGTGGAGCAGCCTTATTTCATCAGAGGTATGAAATATACTCGCAGGCTGACATACACATAGGTCGGGGTGCTGTTGGGATAAATCGGGTCGGGGGGAAACAAAAGGCATAAAGAGCAGTGATAGCTATGTAAAACCAAACTTAAAAGTAAATGATTTAGGTAACCAGAGTTCTTACCTGTGCCTACTGTAGGGTTGTTCAATGCACTGTGTATAGGACTTGCAGGACCTGCACCTCCCTGGCATCCGTGAATATATAAATCTAGGTTTGTGGTGTCCGTGTGCGGCTCTATTATGATTTATTAAATGTGTATACTCTACTTTTTGCATTGCCAGATTGTGAAATATGGCAGTGTATGTGATATAGCAGCCCTGTCTAAATAGATGTCATTCATTAAATTACTATTTTCAGCTGAAGGAGGAACATGATAACCCTGCAGTACAGGCAAGCAAATTTTGAGAAATGGGTGACAGCTTGCTTGATTTTGACTAAGTTTCCCCTCTGAAAGACTGAAGCAGGAACATATGTTCTCTAATAACCCATAAAAAAACTTGTTCAGCAAAGATATTTCAGCCAGAATTTAACAGTAGATGTTGCAAGTGAAAATGGCTTTGGGGTCATTCAAGGTGTACTTCTGAAAAGGCTGGTGTAACTTATTTTTGTGAACTTTCAAGCACTAGTTAGCCAATACCTTAAGAAAACATTCATACAATATTTCTGATCTTATTGTTTCCTTTCCTCGCTTGTACAATTCATAAACATGCAAGTGTGTGTCAAGGATACTGTTTATTTTGGGAGGGAAAATAGTTTCCAGCTCTAAGAGATCTACAAAACTACTGGATAAAACAAAAGCAATGTTATAAATTATCAGATGGATGGAAACACAACCAACCTTTTCTTCTTCTTCATGCAGGCTTCCCAAAGGCTCGAGGTTAACAGTTCTCCAGCTGTTGATGAAAAAGATTCCTCAATGCACAATTCATCTCTGTCACATTGTGAAAAATCATTTTGCATAGTAAACACTACAAGTACACTAATTCAACAAATGAAATAATTGAATTTCTGTGTATGGTTAGTGCTTGTCTAGTTTAAATCCATTGACTATAAGCTGATATGAACTTCTCACTGGACCCTCTCTTGCCACTATTTTGCTCATCTGCCTCCTCTAAGTACTATAAAGTTGGTTGCTTTATGGGCAAAGTGAGCTGCAATTAGTTAACTAAATCTGACAGTAAAAACTCACTGGTGTATACTTGAAAAGCAGAGAAATGCACAAATTTAATCTAGGATTGACATGTACCCATGAATGATGATGATTTTCAATGAATTCTGGACACTGACCAAAGCAACTTAATCTAAACACATTTGAAGAAGCCTCATATGATGCAAAATCAAGACTCTTTGCTTTCACTGCTTAAAGAGCTTTTGATATCAGTGACGCAATTAATTTATCTGGCTCAGCACGAGTCTTTAAAATATTTGTCCTCTGTTCTAATGGCAAATAACATGCTTTCATGGGGTGGATAAAGCCTTTTGAACCCTACCTTCCAGTTTTTAATACTGCTTTTCACACTTGTTTGCAGGCATAATTTCCTACTGATGCTTTGGCATCATTTTTAATGTAACAGAATAAAACAAAAGCAGGACAGCTCCTCATTGACTACAGTCCTGTCCAGTCAGGAATCATGACAGTGTTATGGAACTAATCAGGATTTGGCTCTGCTGAAACCAGTTAAGGGCAAGCAAATCCTGACTGCTTTCACAGAGAAATCCTGAAACAGCTACAGTTCTATCAGAATGTTTTGATGCATTCTTGAATGTGTATTCCAGAACATAACCCACTGGGAGGAATATATATGCTCAGACATGTATGCCAGCGTACACCTGGGCTGTTCTGATGCATTGTGGCAGTTTCATTGCTGCAGAAGAAAGTGGCAAAAGAAAGCTGTCCTTTGCCCTTTTGAGTTACCTCCTCCCCACATCATCAAAATATGTGATTTTCTAGAGATAAGAAACATTTGCAATTTGGCCTCCTAGTCTGGCTCAAATGTACTTTTAAGGTTCAGTATGGCCCTAGCAAAATATAGCTTCACACTGTCTTATGAATGGACACAAATTAACTGTACCTTGGGGTGAGAATTTCTTTATACTGCAGTTTCTCCAGCTTGGACGGTGCCACGAGTGACATAGGGATAACAATATTATCTATATCATAGGAGCTCTCACTTCTCAGTCTACGTCTTGAATTGAGCTGTGCAAAAATCATAACATTATACATTGGATGTCATTAAATGGACACTCAAAGTCAAAAGTAAACTTAAGTGCACAGAACTCGCTAGAAAACCATCTTTAATACTCAAAGCTGATCAGAAATTTTTGAAACTATATCCCAAAAGAAAAATGTCAGTACTATAAACAAGCTCCGGTTTAAAACTAATATATAATCATTAATTCATGGAAATACAAACTGATATACTAAATTATCAAAGCCAGAGGTAAAATGTTTTTTATTGGCTTTGTTGTAAATCCATCGAGTGCCCTCCTGTGTGAGGAGTCTTTAACTGCCATCAAGTCTGCTTTTCAAGAGAAAAACTGTGTACCAGAGCTGCCATTTCCTCCTTACCTAGACATCACCACCAGCTTTGCTCCTACATCTGGTCTGGTGGAAAGAGTGATTCATGGGAAGGATGGACAAGGACAAGACAGCCTGAAATGTCACTGATGTCAGCTGTAACTTTAAGAATTAGTGCTGGAACTTGCTTCTTCCTCCTAGTCCTTTCCTCTTCTATCAAGTCTTTTTAGCCTGTGAGCCTGAGGGCAATGACTGTCTTAGAGCTGGTTTTGGTAAGCCGCTCAGAGTTTTTTTTACTAAAGGGCAAGGTATCCTATAAACGAACAAGGGTCCTAACTCCTTTTTAAAGCACAACTTTTATCCCTTATATTGTCCCTAATATCTCCAGTTATGGTACAGAGTGTCTCTGGAATATGTTCCTTTGCTACATTCCTCAGGAGACATGGCTCCTACTGCTGACTTCATAGCCAGTGCAGTGCAGGAAGCAAAAGGATGGTGCTGAGACAGCAACAACCCTCAACTTGGCACCCTTTAGTTCTCCATCGGACTTCGCCAACATGGCCTTCTCATGTATCATGGCTTTCATGTGAACAGGGACCATGCTGGAGCTGGAGCTGCCTGGGGGCACATCTGTATTGTTCTCCAGCTGCCAGGATTTGCATACTGATTTAGCTGTTGAGAGAGTAATTTATACTATGCAACACACCTGAAGCAGATCAGCCCCTCTAGACCAGACTCACCCTACCTGACTCCTGAGACCCAGCCAGTATGGTCAATGGCCAGGATGATGGGAGCTCCAATTAAAAAAAAATTTGAAGGGCACCAAGTGGGAGAAGGTTGGTCTAGACTGCTAATCTTCCAGGACAATAATTTTAGCATACCTGTGTTGATATACAATGACTTGATCTAGACATCATGTCTCCATTGGCTGCTCCTGTAAAAGGACTCTGGGATTCTGGTTCTGCGTGTTGAAAGGAAAATGCTTCACATCTCTTACTACTTTCTCCTGCCACACAAAAGAAAGAAAAGGGGAAGAGTCCTTTATCTTTCAGAAAATGAAGTTGTATGTAATGAACGATATTTCTGAACAACTACTACAATTACAACTTAGCTGCTCCACATGATGTTATAATAAACGTAAATGGAACATAGCAAGAAGTGACAATGAAACTGTTAAGAGAGTCTTATCTGTATAAATGCAAACATATGCCCATCTATTGCTATAATCAAAGGAAGCTGATAAAAGTTATTCTCCACAGTACCACATGGTTTCTACAGCTGGAATGCAATCCTCCAGAGTTTGACAAAACATCCATTTGAGGCTGTAATCCTATACACACTTCCCTCTGAGCAAGTCCGAGTGAACTTAATGGGACTTACTTCTGAATCGAGATGTACAGGATTGCACTGCAAACAGTTACTTTCTTCTTGTGGACAGAAGTGGACAGTATGCTGGAGACTTGTCATTTACCTGACCTCCTGATAGCTTAGGCAACTTACCAATCACTGTCTCACTTAAATGTCTTTTCTTTCTTCCCTCTAGCAGCTGTTCAGATGCTTCTGACACAGTCTGATGTTTGAAACTGGATTCAAATCCACAGATCCACTGTTGAGGAGGACCTTTATAATGAAAATATTCTACAACAAAATAAACACTATCTTACTATTGTTTCTTCTCAGTTTAAAGGAACGCTATTTTTTCTATTTGCACTTTAAATTACAATGTAGAAATTCATCCCCATCAGTTAAAAAAAAAAGTACAGTGGAGAAAAATCAACAAAACAATGCCAAAAAATAAATTTTGAAACAAAAAAAGTCAAAATTATGTACTGCATACCATTTGATGGAGACATTTTTAACTCTAAACCAAGGGCAGATTCACCTTTGACCTCATAATTCTTGAGCAGTGTCTTAAAGTGTACATGAAGAGAAGTGTCTGAAAAATAGAGATTCAATCTAGGTAAAGAAATATAAATCATCTGATTGCAATCTACTATCCCCAAAATCTATTCACTTACATGTGCATTGCATGCCTATTTTCAAAAGCTAATTCATGAAGTCTGGCCTACTCTCCACTATGTAAGTGCCAGTAGTTTTGTGGAGAAAATGCTAAGTGGAGTGTACAAAACCATGAAGCTCCCCTAGTGACAGTTACTGTTTCTTTTAATCTTAACTGCCTCACAGAGTACTTACAAGAACAAAATGGGGGCAGGGGGAGTCTCTGACACTGCCTTGAGCTCCTTGGAGGAATGCAGAAAATACAGCATAATAATAAAATAGTCAATAAAAGGGATGTTCTGCTGTACATATGATAGCAAGCAACCACTTACCAGAAGGAAATGATAAGACAGGATGGAATGAGGTGTCCAATTCTAACATGAGTTGTTTTTGTGTCCTGGGCTTGGTGCTCAATTCATATGTACTCCACATGGAGGCTGGAACCACCTCTTCTGTATTAAACAAGGCATCTCTCAGTTGCATAGCCTGTAAGGTGGCACATAGATTTAAAACTTTTTAAAGCTTGTTCACATTCTAAAGCAAACCGTGTCAACAGATTGAAGTTCAAGCTGGACAAGACAGCAGGACTACTGCTCCAGAGATAGGTATTCTTCAGCCAGTTTATCCCTGACTTTACTAAATTAAATCTGTAATATTTTTCTTAACTTCTGTTCTCTGTTTACCCCAAAAAATCCAATGAAAGCAATTATCCCCTCCTGCTGTTGCTCCCCCATCATGACTAATAATGACTGGTAGTTTTATCCTCCATGAATTTCTTAACTCCTTTTAAAGTCACCTAACATCAACCTGCAGGCAAATATATTGGGCATGCTCCAATTTATTCTACTTGTCATATAGAATGACAAGTAGTGTCAAATTTTGAAGTTACATTTCACAAAGCCACAACCCACATCCCTAAATACTATGTGTGAGCTTGCACACTTACCAAAGAGCAGCACAATACCAAATTTATTAGGATCAGCATGACAGCTCAAGAAACTTTTAAATAAAGGAGAACGTAAGAACAATCAATATGTACAGCTAGACAAAACATCGGGAATTGGCTGAATATGCATCAAATTACACACTTTTTGGCAAGTCCAACAGTAATCGCATATGCTTCTATGCCTCTAACTCCATTTGAAATTCTAATTATGAATACTAATGCGAAATCTGAACATGTATTATCAATAATTACAAAATAGTACATGACATACAATTGGGCCAAACAAATTTAATAAAACATACTTGGGAATCAGATTTAGAAACCATAATTTGAAGGGGCAGATTGGCAAAGCTTGTGGGCTAAAAAAATCAGTATCCACATGTGTAAAAGAAAACACTCTCAGTGTCTTACATAGACCCCTCTGAGGTGCAACTACATCAATAAAACCATTTCTCCTCTCTGTTGGAGAAAGTGTAAGGAGAACTATTCATACGTGGTGGGCATGTGAAAAACTGCAACTATTTTGGAACAATTCTGTTAATGAGATTGGCTAGATTACAAACCAAAATGTTATTTGCCCCACAACCTTGGTTCTGCTATCAAGTTTTAAAGATGATACTGTTATCATCCTTAAATAAAGAACTAATCACCTTCCTTTTGATAGCTACTAGACAACCTATTGCTCAAAACTGAAAGTCCCTAGAACATTTGGAATTATCACAGTGGAAATAGAAAGCATGGACATTGGCAGTCTCTAAAAAATTAACAAAGGAAGTCAAGGCATTAGTCAGAAAAGGAGAAGATACTAACTTTATAGTGATATGGCACCCTTTTTCACAGATTATCACTCACGTTATTTTGAAAAATCAATAAAAGAATTTTAAAAGAGGATAAGCACGATAGTTTCCTGGATGCAAGGTTTACTGAACTCAGTGGTGCTTACTTCTGACTGCAATGAAAGATCTTCAGCCAGCTGAAATTGCAACCTTTAGCTTTTAAATAGAAATGCAAACAATATTGAAAAGGGATACTTTGGAGTACAAGGGAGATGGAACATGCAAAAAAGCCTCTCTCTCCTGTCCTGCTAGTAAACAGCCAGCATTGGATACCACCCTGCTTTATTTTAAACAGGTGAAAATTACTCCCCCCCCCCTTTAGGTGAAGACAAAGTTTTATTGGGACATAACATTTTTAGCTTCTATCACTGGCTCTGACCTTTTTCTTTTCTTTCCTTTTTACTGAGAAAACTATTCTTATGAATATCATATTGCTATATTTAGGAAAATAAAAACCTGATTAATGAAATGTTACTGTAGGAGGAATATACTTATTTTTGTGAAGGTTTCCATTCCTCTTGCTTTACACGCAATATGCTATATTTTGTTTTAAAAGTTTTAAGATTTTAAGTTTTAAGATCATTTGCAAAAACAGCAGCAAAGCAGAATTTTCCAAATTAAATATTTATTTCAGTTCAGGTACTTTGCAGCTGTTTATGCTAGGTCGAATCTTAATTTAACACAGATCAGCTTAAGGCACTTCTGAGCCTATGAAGAGGAAAACTAAGCTAGCTTGGAACAGCAAAAATCTTTTTTTAAAAAAGACAAAGAGAAGATACAGCTTTTCAATTTCCTTTAAACTTGAGCACTGCCAGGTTTTGTGATTAAATAAATAGTCCAAAAAGAAACAGCAGATTTAGATGGCAACATACTTCCTCAGAGGTAAGTGTTTGGGGGGGGGGATCTTTATGCTCTCATCACCTTTACCAGACTCTGAAACTAGAACAGATACATTAATTTGATATGAGAGATTTTTAACTATTATTAGTTTTAGGCCTCTGACTCCTAAGAAACTCATATATGAAATGTTTTATTTCTTTTATTGTACAAACAAAATGCATTTTGTATGAAGATTCTGTCATGTCTCTAAGAGCTTGGATGGCTTAAACAGTTACATTTACATACATACAAATACATCTATTTATGGCTACATACACGTAAATGTGTGTTTAACACACACACACACACACACACCAAACACGTAACTCAATCTTCAATAAACTCCCAAATTACTAAGACCTTTGGCTATGACTCGGAAAACAGCTAGCAATTACAAGTTTTTGATGGCAGCAAGAGTAGCTCTCTGTAACTTAGATCATGTGCTCCCACACGTCTGAAGCCCAAATGCAACTGAGAGTTTTGGAATTTTCCTTCTCTGTGTCTTACAACAGCTCTTGGAGACATCCAACTTAAGCTTGTCATTGCTTCCGTAGCAAACAATTTTGTATTCAATACAGGGTTTACTTGCATGCCAAGTCCTGCTTTTCAAAGAATTCATTATACAGAACTATGATTTAGCAAAGTATGATAGTTTTCAATTGACGTTTTTGTTCAGACATATGTATTAGGTGGAAAGAGCAGACTACAATACTGCTGCTTCATTTCTGAATTCTGAAGTTTGCTGTCAAAAGTAACAAGGCAGCATGCTGCAGTATTGTTGTTGTTGTTTAGTCGTTTAGCCGTGTCCGACTCTTCGTAACCCCATGGACCAGAGCACACCAGGCACTCCTGTCTTCCACATGTTGCAGTATAGTATTGTACTAATGATGCTGACATGTGTAGTAAAATCAGATTGCATTTCCTTGTTGGTTGGGGGGCGTGGACTGTAATTTCATGTTAGCCTCACTTGGCCTCAGTAGAAGCTAAGTGAAGATACTGTTTTTATCTGAAGAGGCGTATCATTTCTGCTTGCAAAAACCTTTCTTGATTAGTAACTTCAGCCTAGCTGACCTCTTAAAGCCATTTCAGTGCTCAGTCATGTTGTCTGAATGCAACAAATAACACAGCTCAGTTACACTGCTTTTGTAAAAAATCTTTACCTAAATAACTAGTATGAAGCAGAATGTGGCCTGTTAACACAGCCCAGCCCACTGGTCAAGTCAAAGTGACCTCACTGCCATACATGGTGGGCTGTCATCCAGAAAATTGGGTAAGGATATGACCCAACAAGATGGAAGATGCTTTCAGTTCTGGACTCGCATAAATGGTCACATGAAAGAAACGCATTGTATAATTAATCCATAATATATCTTGATTCTCTCTCCTGTTCTTTTGTCCCCCAAAGGGAAAATCCAGGTGACAATACAGGGGTACCCCCTATGTGTGAGACATTGGATAACAAAGAAAAATAATTTAGAATCATCGAATTTGGGTTTTTTATTTTATTTTTAAGGATGAATATATACAATGCTTCATCCAACATCACACCTAGTTAGAAAAAGGAAGTTGCGGTGGTCAACAAGGCCAACTTAGGAAATCCAGTTTAGCCTTATGTGTGGTCAACCTCGTATCTGACCTGCTTCTTGAAAATTTTCTCCCCTAATTCAGGATCTCACAGAACAGAACAAGAGCAGGAGCATGTAGTAGATACACACCCATACTAATCTGGCACACAAAGCTGGAACCTTAACATACTTTCTTAAAGAGATAGAAACATGCATTTGTACCTGCTGGTTTGAATTGAAAGCAGTGCTCATTTTGTACAGCTTCCTCCTCTGGAAACTCTGAAGCGGTCTAGTGCGAGCAGATGTGCATATCACAGCAACAGATGATGTTCTCAACTTCACCTTTTCTTTCCTCCTCCTCTTCAGGTGTTGTTGGTCAACCAACCAACTACTGGTGCATGATATCTCCTCATTGTTCTCTGAATCTCTGAAAAGCACCAAATAATTATCCTAGGATGTCAGAAATAAGCTCTGCATATTATATAATATTTGAGTTCCATACACCAAGTTCAAGATCAGAAGGTGTACTCAGGATTAAGTGATATACTCTAAGTCAGCCTTTCTCAACTTTGGAGCCCCATGTGCTATTGGACTACAACTCCCATCATCTCTAGCTAGCCAGACCTGTGGTCAGGGATGAAGGGGGTTGTAGTTCAACAACGTCTGGGGACACAAGGTTGAGAAAGGCTGCTCTAGGCAATGTACATATATTGATTTGCTTGTCCATACATTATTCTTCATATTGGTTTAATTAGATCTTCTAAAGCTGGGAGCCCAACTTCTAAACCTTCCAACATTGCTCCATAATTTCTCTATACAGTGGTACTTTGGGTTACATACGCTTCAGATTACATATGCTTCAGGTTACAGACTCCGCTAACCCAGAAATAGTACCTTGGGTTAAGAACTTTGCTTCAGGATGAGAACAGAAATTGTGCTCCAGTGGTGCAGCGGCAGCAGGAGGCCCCATTAGCTAAAGTGGTGCTTCAGGTTAAGAACAGTTTCAGGTTAAGAAGTGACCTCTGCAACGAATTAAGTACTTAACCCAAGGTACCACTGTACTTTCACAGAGGTACTTGCTGTAAGCAATAAACTGTGAACATGAATATTCCCAAGAAAAACAGCATAGAGAAGTATCAGTGGCAAAGAAATGAGACCTGACCCCAGTGAAGTTGAACCATTAAAGAGACATCCTCAGTTTATTATTCAAGACAGACCATAATAGCTTTTAAAAACATGGGAAATCATCTTCTTAGTTGAGATTTCTTAATCTCATTAGAATACGACCTAATCTCATTACTCCACCATCTAAATCCAATCATCTTTAATCATTATTAACAAAAAATAATTTATGTTTTATTTAACACATTTTTATCCTACTTTTCAGCCAGAAAAAAAAGCTTCCAAAGCAGCTCATTCCAGAAGGCATGGCACAGAAGGAAAAGGACTTCATAGCAAGAAAACAAGCTCAAACACTAGTTCTTCCTTATGCCATTCTTGTAATGTTCAGCTGGAATGGAACAATTTGGAAAAGAGCCCAAAGTTGCTGATCCTTCAGCAGAACCAATGGAGAAGCACTGAAATCCCATCTCTCACCCTGTCCTATTGCATGATAGAATGACTATTTTGATTTTAGAAGACTGAACAACAACCTTATTTTCCAAGTCTATTGTCTTAACTCATTTATATTTTGTTTTACTAACTTTATAAACGTGATTTATATTGTTGTATTAATGTGCTTTACATTATCATATATCACCATTATTACAATAGAAGGAGAATATTACGTTAAAATAATATATTTATTATCTTGGTAATTGCTCTATGCAATTCATATACAGTATTTCAAAGCAATGTCAGCCTCTTCTGAACAGCATCCTCATTATTATCAAACAGGGAGTTTTTAAAAACACATTGATCCTATACATGTCTCCTCACAAGCAAGCCCTACTGAGTTTAAAAGTACTTACCATGCAATGCTATGTCTACTCAGAATTAAGTTCTAGTGGTATGGGGGCGGGGCTCTCAGGTATTGGGGGGGGGGGTAGGATTGCAGCAATACTCCCAAGTGTGTATAGGATTGCAGCCTTGTAATACTAAACTACTGCAAGTTTGTTTAAATAATAATACTGTTGTTATTTAAACAACAGTTGTACTGTCATTTTATATTACATTCCCCCAAATGCTAAATATCCAGTTATTATGAAATACATGAAAGTGCCACGTACCTTATAGAGATACCATTGGCCGACTCTTTCTGCTTACAGGACTTTGAGGAAAGAGGAGATGATGTGGGAGACAGATTGAGAGGAGTAATCAGACTGCTGATTATTTCACTCAGTTGAGCACTCTGAAAGAAGAATCAAAGGGAAAACCTTGAATTGAATGCACAGCAAATAACAGTCTAAAGAACTCAGGATTATATTCAAAGCACAGTGCTTCTAAAGCACCCAGCAATTAGCTGGTGCTCAAGAAAGCACAGTGCAAGGGACTTCCAATCAGCAACATCTGCAAAGCCTCTTTTGACCAAGCCCCACCCTTTCTCCCGCCCCCACCTGACTTTATGATTTCAGATGATTTGACAGGTAGGTGGTCCCACTCGCCTGTCAAAGTTGGCCCATGGGGGTAGAAGGAAGATAAAGATCAGAACCACTGCACCAAATAAATTCCCCACCCCTGCACTAGAGAGATAAGCACAAAACACATTCATGCAATGGTCACATTAAACAATCTCTTTTGCAAATCACACTATAATTATGAATACCAAGCTCAAGGGCAAGGGAAAAAGTCAGGGAGGGAAATGAAAAACCAAGACTTTTTTCCACAGCCCTCCTGCCTGAAACTGAAATGTTTGACTTTATCATGCTGATGGGTGACATAAAAGGTGCTCAAGTAGCATACATAAAATATATCACATTTTATCCTCATAACAGATAGATGAAATGGAGACACTGTTACTGGACAATGTGAATTTCACAAGTAAATTTCTGAATTAAGACCTGCCAAACCAAGTCTAACACTACAGCTTCCAAGATGCTTTCTGAGTGTACAAAAACCACTACACAATCTCCCACTTCCTGCAACTTATGCAGATCATGCTTACAGAAATATGGAACTTTGTTTTATTAATAAGCTATTACAGTGTACCTGTGTTTTGCTACAAATTATCTAATTCTATCTGATGCTCACTCTTACTTGAATACCTGTTTTTCTATGTTGCGGAGAAGCAGAGTTGGACTGCTGGGTGACATTTCGAAATCATGTTCCGGCCAAGCATCCTGCCTCTCAAGGGATGCATGTGAATTCCCTGTGGTGTCTAATAAAGCTTCATGGTCCATCAATTGTGTTCGCTTCTTCAAGAAGTCCTTTGGATTTGGAAATTCTTCTAGGATCACCATTCCCTAGACAACAGCAATTGAACACAATTGTGTAACAAATGTAATCTCTCAAACTGCTGCAGCCCCCTGAAACACTTTAATGATTTAGAGCTCAAAGTGTGATCTGTATACAGACAAGGTGAATAATCTCACAAGACAATAAAGTTGCAACTTCAATTTTTGCAAGCAGCTAACATTATAGCGATTTTCTGCTCCAGTTCAAAAATTTGGCATACAAATCTATGTATTGATTGTTGTATCATTTTCTAGTTTCATCTGCTAAATGAAACATCCTGAGGGCCAGTGTATGATTCAGCAATCAGACCTGCAAGTTGCTGTAAATCAGCCCACTCATCCCCACTCAAACATTAATCTCACTGCGAGGCAGTCACCTCCTCTCAGCCTAACCTACCTCACAGAATAGCTGTGAGAATTAAATGAGGAGAACCAAGCTCCTTGAAGAGGAGGATATAAATGCAATAAATAATAAAAAACAAGATTTGCATCAGTGACACATCTTCTGTTCACAACTGAGACTGGATTACTGTCCTTTGCTCCGTATGGAAATGCCTTTGAAGACAATTGGTACAAAAGGTGCAGCTAGAAGGCTTATATGGTCAACAATTTGGAACACATATTGGCAACTTGTTTGTTTCTGGGACAGTGTTAGTTTGCAAAACAGATTATCTGCAGGCCTGCCTGCCTGCCTGCATACATATGAGCCTCTCCAGGTTTTACTATGTGCTGAGGTCTTGGATTTCCAGCTCTTTGAGAAGAGATGCTGGATTGACGAGTACCAGCCTTTTCTTTATTATACACATTTTGATAGTGCATTCTATGTGCCTTTTATCTTGTTTCCTTAATGCTGGTCATTGACTGTAACAATAAAGATTTGATTTGATTTTAAAAAATAAATTAAATCTGTCCCTCTAGATTACCAAGCATGATCTTTATTGGATTACCTTATATAAAGAACTCAATCATCATGCAAAGTGCACAATAAATTTTCTTCAAAAAAATAGTTTAATCACCAGGCAATTCAATATACGCATAAAGATCTGCTTTCCTCTGTGGAGAGGATACTTGAATTGACAATGCATAAAAAAACTTATTGCTTGTGTACTGTGTACTGCATATGAAACTTAATAAGACTGTGCCACTGGACAAGTTACTGTAGTTATATGTTGTTCTTGTATTTACATGAAAACCAATACAAATTATTTGGGGGGGGGGGGTAAAGATCTGCTTTCACTTGCCCACAATAGCTATTTTCTTTATTTCCATAAGGATTAATCTACAAGGAACCAGGTATCACTAAAAAACCAAGACTCAGATTGCTGGTACCGGTCGACAACTCTCTGCTTCCAATAACATTTTCTTCCATGCTCTCCACCCCTTGGGAAAAGATAGTTGTGGCCTATCTGTGTTTTTTCTGTTTAGTTACACTTCAAGAAAAGATGAAAATTATTTTAATCGATTGTTTATGACTGTGTTTGAGGAGTCCTGTCTATTAATTATTGCTTCCTCACTGTACTTATACTGGAGACTTATAGACAATGTTTTGGTTGGTCCATCCCAATGCACACAACTTACTTGTTTCCAAACTACCAAAATAAGAAGCACCCTCTCTTCATCCTCCTCATACCAGTCCCTACCTCTCTCTCATGTCACTGTTCCCAGTCTATGACTACACTTCACAGCAGAGCTTCACTACCACAAGAACAAAACAAGATGGATTTCACCCCCTCGCCTCTTTTTTTTTTTTTAAAGAATGAAATAAATTAAGCTGGGAAACAGTCACTTGCCCAAGGCCGCCCAGTAAACTACAAATCTTAGTATGGATTCTGGACCACAATCCTACTTTCAAACAAACACAACACTCAAACTCAGCCTACTATTTCATTGACCTTTGTAGATTTTACATAATGGCTTTTGCTTAGATACCAGAAACCACAGAACACAGAGAAAAAACATTTATCAATCTTTTATTTCAATAACCCATTTTTCTTCCTTACTGACAATACCTTGGTGGCACGAATCTGCCTGTGAAGGTCAGTGAGTTGCTGGATTTTGTATTCTAGCTCTGAAATCTGGGCTTGAAGCCATGTCCAGCGACAGCCAACATTAGCTCTGTCTACCAGCCATTTCCAGTCAGATCTATAGGAAGAACACAGAACATTGGTTAGAAGAGATAATCACTATTTTAGAAAGACAACTCAAAAGAGTCCTTAAAGGTAAAGGTAAAGGTACCCCTGCCCGTACGGGCCAGTCTTGACAGACTCTAGGGTTGTGCGCCCATCTCACTCTATAGGCCGGGGGCCAGCGCTGTCCGAAGACACTTCCGGGTCACGTGGTCAGCGTGACAAGCTGCATCTGGCAAGCCAGCGCAGCACACGGAACGCCGTTTACCTTCCCGCTAGTAAGCGGTCCCTATTTATCTACTTACACCCGGGGGTGCTTTCAAACTGCTAGGTTGGCAGGCGCTGGGACCGAGCAGCGGGAGCGCACCCAGCCGCAGGGATTCGAACCGCGACCTTTCGATCGGCAAGCCCTAGGCGCTGAGGCTTTTACCCACAGCGCCACCCGCATCCCAAAAGAGTCCTTAGGATATCACAAATCTGACACTTTCCCCCAGAAGCCTTTGGGGCGACAATAACTAGCAAGTAACATGTTAAAACAGCAGTGAATATATCATAAAATGCCTTTTAGAAGCATCTGCTAAAAACAGAAAGAGCTGAATTGAGTCTGATTTCTGCACAGAGTTGAAAACATAGCCGTAATAATAAATTATTATTATTATTATATAGCACATAGTAAGAGCCTGCTGAATCAATGGCCCACCTAGTCCAGCATCCTGTTGGCCAACAAGATGTGGATCAAATGCCTGAAAGCAGAACATGAGTGCAACATGAAGTCCATAATTTTGGTACCACTACGGAGAAGGCCTTGTTCCTGGTTCCCATAAATCAAATGCCTAGAGAACATAGGCAATTGATACAGACCCTAAGGCTTAAGCAGGTTTACATGAACTTGGATGGCCATGTCCAAGAGGCATTTGTGGCATGAAGTACCTTCATTCATTTAGCCTTTATTGGCATACGTTAGCCAATAAAATCATAAGAGAGAGAACCATCCATGTAACATTGGCAATCCAGACTTGAAATATATAAAAGGTAAAGGACCCCTGGAGGATTAAGTCCAGTCAAATTTAACTATGAGGTGTGGCACTTATCTCTGCTTTAAGGCAGATCATGCTTTCTGGGTCATGTGGCCAGCATGACTAAACTGCTTCTGGCGCAACAGGATACCGTGATGGAAGCCAGAGCGCACAGAAATGTCATTTACCTTCTCACTGAAGCAGTACCTATTTATCTACTTGCGCTGGTATGCTTTCAAACTGCTAGGTTTGCAGGAGTTTGGACAGAGCAACGGGAGCTCACCCCATCACGCGGATTCGAACAGCCAACCTTGCAATCGGCAAGCCCAAGAGGCTCAGTGGTTTAAACCACAGCGCCACCGTGACACAATAGCTGCATGAAGTGCCTTTCACCAGTTTAGCTTGGTGAGCCAACTGCAGGCCCTCAAGCACAGATAGGCTGTCACCTTTGTCCACACTCCCAGATGATTTGCATTTAGACTACTATAATGAGCTGTGTTTGGGAACACCTTGGAAAACTACTTCAATGGATGTAAAAATATGACACAGCTGGATGATACCAGCCACAGGGAACACATCTCAATGGTGCTGAAATAGTGTCACTAATTTGCTGCTTGTACAGGCAACTCCCAACAGTGCCAAACCCAGAAGTGACCTGATCACTAAAAGAGTGGAACGGGGGCGGGGCAGAATGCTTTACTCTGGCCCTGCCAATGCACATGGGGGTCTGGAACAGAACCCCCATGCAAAGCAAGGATTGCCTGTACTGTAATATTTGACTCATATAACAAGCTATGATCAAAGAGCAGTTCCATTTACATCAGTAAACTTTATCAACTTAGTGAAATTGACTCCAAAAATAAAAGATTTGGAGATCCTGTCATTAACATATCACATCTTCTGTCCTTTATGTACAGAGATATCACAGATTTACATGGAACTTGAGCATGCAGGACTGTAGCACAAAAGTTCAGCAATTCTTTTAATACCTACACTGACATAGCTTTTCTGGAAATCTGCTCATCATCATCTTCACTTGAGCTGCTACAAGTGGCATCAGAATCCAAACTCTCTTCCGCATGAAATAGGAGTCCAGCTGTTGAGCGAGCAAACACTTTGATTTCATCAGATGAAACATCAAAATCACGCTGTATATCTTTACTTGTATTAGCCTCTCTGTTTTCCATTTTAATATTGGTGCATCTATGATAGCTGCCACCCAAAACACCGGATGGATCATGAAAGGCTTTCATTCTCTGTAGTTGGCGTCTCACAAAGCATTTCATCTGCTGGTCACAGTGTTTGACAACATGCTTCGCCAAGAGTATTTGCAAACGTTTCTGAGTTCTTTTGGCCCGGCTGAGCAAAGCCTGTTGCTTGCTTACACACTGAAGTAAATGAAAATTCAATTCCTGTTCTTTAGTACTGGGATTGTAGTTCATTTTTGGTTCCAGGGCATCATCACACACTTGATGGAACAGGTCTCCTTTTTTTGTCTCAGGATTAATAAATAATGCCTTGCTCAAAAAGCCATTCTTCTGATACCCTTTACAGTTAGGAAGCTGCCTTTCTTCTACATTGCGGGATTCAGTTAAACATGAATCAAATAGTTTCCCCATTTCAGGTAAGTTCTTTGTTGATCCTAATAAAGTTTCCCCTCTGACCTGCTCCCCAGATTCTGAATTAATAATTTGACTGAAGTGTGTATTAGTGCTGTTACATAACGGATTTCTCACTTTGGAGCAGCTATGCTCTTCTGAGTTCCTCTGCACACAATTTTTATTGTTTACATGGAAAGTAGAACTGGGGCTCATTAATACTGGATAGTGTTTAGAAGACTGAGAACCCAAGTATTTTAAGTTAAAGCAATCAGTGCTATGGTTCGCTTGAGGAATGGGGAACCCCAGCATGGAGCAAGTAATTTTTGTGACAGACCCGTCTTTCATCTTCTCTTTTACTGGTCTGGTACTTCCCATGCCTAATGCATCATTGGACTCCATCACTCTTGAAGACAAGGAAGATGATAAGCAGATACCGTGCCCTTTCATTGCTTTCTCTTGAAGAGCAGGTGTCATAGCTGTCGTAAGCAGTTTACACCCAACCTGTAAGAAAAGCAAATACTGAATAAAACTATTGTTTTGATAATATCTACTGTTAATTTCCACTTCTGCAGTGCCATAAATTCCAGATATAATTTGCAGTTGCTCTTTAAGAAAATAAAATAATCTTATCAACTGTTCCGTGATTATGTGCCTGGGTAGCTCAGTTGGGACAGCTGTGTTCCTGCATTGCAGGGGGTTGGACTAGATGATCCTCAGGGTCCCTTCCAATTCTATAGTTCTATGAATCTATGGAAACATCTAATTCAGAACATCTGCCACAACAACAAAGGCTGTAGTAATATTTTTAGGTGCACCAAAATACTGGCCATGTTGAAACCATAACTATGTATGCTTTTGCTTGTTACTATTTTAAATATATAAATCAGTTCTGTTTGCAGGTATTTCCCCCCTCCCCCCATATTTTCATTATCAATAAGCAAAGACATACACGAGCTGCGTGCCCATGCAATCCCTTTGCTGCTGATTCACTACTTCATTTGCACGAATGGCAAAAAAACCCCTATTATGTGTGAATTATGAATTACATTTAATGGCTTTCTAAGAAATCAAGATTAGGAAGACAACTTTAAAGCATGATGAAAGCGCACAAAGCTCAAGCATACCCAAGCTTAATCAATCAGGATTGGATCATATGAACCAGACCATTGTTTCACAGCCAGGAGGATATCTGTAATTCTTTCTGTAAGCCTGGTTCCCATTATTCTCAATTTTATACAAAATAATTATTTGCAGTTTTCATATCCTAATTTTCCTCTTTAAAAAGTCATCCAACTAAAAATAGGAGTCCTATAAAAACATCCATTATATTTTTCTCTCCAATGTTTTTATTTTTAATGTTCCAGATTGAACAGTTTCCTATCCTCATATATTTAATAATAATAATAATAATAAATCTTTATTGTCATTGCCCCCTCTCGGGGACAACGAAATTACTTGGCTGCTCCATCCACCCAGGTAGGGCACTCCACACAAAATCAAAACAACTATAAAAACACTAATTAAAGCAATACAGTATAATACAGCAAGGAAGATTAGATGACTTTCAAAGTCCAGGCTTCCCATTCAGGGCCGAGATCGCTCTGGAGAAGAAGCTGTTCTTAAGACGGCTCGTTCTTGTCTTCATCGTCCTATATCTCCGTCCCGACGGCAGGAGCTCGAAGAAACAGTGACCAGGATGCGATGGATCTTTTACTATGTCCAGTGCCTTCCTATGGCACCTTGTGGCATAAATCTGCTCTAAGGTGGAGAGTGGGCAGCCAACAATGCTCTCTGCTGCCTTAACAACTCTGTACAACCCCATCCTGTCCTGGGTAGTACAGCTTCCGTACCACACACATAAGCCATAAGTGAGCACGCTCTCAATGGCACAGTGATAGAAGGCAAGCAGCAGTTTCTGCAGAAGATGATTTTTCCTTAGAATTCTCAAAAAGTACAGTCTCTGCTGCGCCTTCTTCACAAGCCCCCGTGTGTTGACACTCCAGGACAGATCCTCTTGTAATTCAATGCCCAAAAATCTGAACGTTGTTACCCTCCCCACACAGACCCCATCAATCAAAAGTGGCTGGACATTGCTCTTCTGTCTCCTGAAGTCCACCACAAGCTCCTTTGTCTTCCTTGTATTTATGAGCAAGTTGTTAGCTCTGCACCACTCTGTCAGCCGCTCCACCTCATCTCTATAGTCCGTTTCACCCTCCCTTTCAGAGATGAGCCCAATCACGGTTGTAATCTTGCCTAACAGTTTATCACTTTTTGTTCGTCTCTCCACATTTTCCTAATTCCTAAAATATAAACAGCATATGAAATTTCTTGCTATAGTAATTTGTTTATTTTCTGGCTGCTGTACTTCAAAGGCTGGGGGTAGGGAGAGCATTTTACTTTGTTTTACAGTAAGGAAAAAAATAAGGGAAAGTCTGGCATCTGTTAACTATCCACAGTGCACAATGCCTTTACTAGGACCAACCAGAATGTCACAAAATAGTGAGCAAAGCTTTCCTGTTCTCCAGAATTCTTCATCAGGCTAGATGCTGAGAAGGGGAAAGGGGAAAGAGAGAGAAAAGGTGGCTTGATTTTGAAGTCACTAAATTCAGGCTTGGTAGTTTCAACATAAGCCTGCCTTTGTCTCCTCACTCCTACCATCCAAACTGATGTTTACGACATATTCATTTGTCCAAATAAAGGTGTTAGGTGTAATTTTTGTTATGAACTAACACAGTTTCTTTTCCTTTTTGTATATTTTAACAAGCTGCATCACAGAACAGTGTGTACAAAAAAGGGAACAGAAGATAAAATATAAAGAAAACTTTAAATAAAATGTGTTTTAATTGCTACTTAAATTTTACTATGGAAACCACTTTGAGAATTTTTGTTGAATGACAGTATATAGTTTAAGTAAAAATTAAACTATTAAACTTTTGAAAAGCAATCAATTAAATACAAGTCTATAATTAAAAGACTCAAAACCAGTTGTCAACATTCCTTAAAAATATACATCATGAATTAAGGGAAGATCTAAAAGTTTAAAATTAAAATGTGATATCTGAAATGCTCTCTAGGAAGCTACCAGAGACACTAATTCAATTAAAGGAAATAGCTTCAGTGACTGAAACATAACTTCAGGTACAATAAAATATTGTTTTCAAACTATTCTATGTCTTCAGAATTAACTTTTTTTTACTATTTGATCCTGAAAAATCATTTAATTAGCAATTAATGGTGCAATCCTATACATGTCTCCTCAGATCATAAGTCCTTTGAACACAATGGGACTTACTCCCAGGGGGCTGGGAATCATTTACAGCGGGGGCTGGGAATCATTTACAGCTGGTTAAGACCTTAGGTCCTCAGATTTCCACAAGTCATTTTGACATGTGGGCCTATCCAACTCTTTAACATCTGACATAATTGTGATGTCAGATGAAACACCTTCCCCTATTTTTAAGACACAGTAATTTGTAAGTGCCACCAATCAGCTGGTTGTCAGTGTCTGCCAAACCCTCTGGCTTTACAAGTGCTGAAGACAGCACAATCTTCACTTTAGCAAGAACTTATGTCTTTGCGTGTGTCACACTGGACAGAGGGCAGGTGGGTGTGGCTTGACCAAAGAGCTTCACAGGTCACATGGGGGGGGGGCTGCTGCAGCTATTTAGGGCTGCAGGCTGGAGGTTCTCCACTACTTATGTACGGGATTGCATCCTTATTGGTTTTCTGTGAGACCCTTAAAAATATTGTCTGATTTGCTGAAAACTGCTGTAGGGTTTCAAAAACTAGGAAATACCTGCAATGCCTTCGAATAGTTTTTTAAAACGCCAATATGACTACTTTTGTTCATACCCAAAACATTTGCCAGCTGCAATGTATAAATATTTCACTATGTTGATCTGTTAACAATAAAGAGAAACAGAATAATGAAAGTTTAACTTTGAACTCCTATCACTTTACACTGATAATCACAGTGAGTAAACCAAGAGACTACCAAAATACAGTAGTACCTCCGCTTACGTAACCCTCTGGTTACATAAACTTCAGGATACATAAGCAGCAAACCCAGAAGTATATTACCGGTTTTGCTGCGCGCGCATGCGCAGAAGTGGTCCTCCAGCTGCGAAAACCTTGAGAGCCAGCCAGACCTCCAGAACGGATCCTGTCCGCAACCAGAGGTACCATGTTAGATTAAAATGCATAAGGCAGACAACTATGTGCATATACTAGTTCAAATTCAAATCTAAATAACGTTTGTGACAATAGCATTAAAAGAAATAAATTTACAGCTTCACACTAGAGCTCCACTAAGAGATTTGAACACTTCAGATTTATCACACAGTTATTGACACAGCTCAGAGTCATATTTATTTCAGTAACTAACATTTCATAGATACTCAACAGATTAAAAACACTACCATAAATGCTTTGTAGAAAATGACTCCCTCAAGACTAGCCGTTTCAATGTGATTCCATAAAAACGTTATTTTGTCCAATTAGCAGATACTGAAACAACAAATATAAATCCCATCTGCATGCCTTCATAGATTTCTCTCTTACTAAACAGAATATCAATATTCAAATAGGACAAAAGTCAACAACTCAACAATCAAAGAAAAAAATGCAATGTTATAAAGAAATTGTTTATACAATTTGTTAGTACAGAGCAAAGGGGATGGGGTCTTCTCACCAGGCTACATTGTAAAGGTAAAGGACCCCTGGGTGGACAAGTCCATTCGTGATTCAAAATTGGCTCCCTCATCTCTCCTCTAGAGGAGGCTGACAACTATAAAAGGGAAGTGCTGGAGAGCATAAGGAAGGATGTTGAGTCCTCTACCCCAGCTGTTGTACTGCTTTAACTACCAGATAAACAAAACCATGTCATTTAATCAAAAATATACTTAATTGGCAAAGAGCAGCTTAATGTGGTAAAGGGCAAGTTTGCATATAGAACACATCCAATTCTCCAAATTCCAGTTGAAGATCTCAAGTATTAACCTGGAAAAGTTACATTAAGTATTGGAGAGGTGCTGCCATCCATCACAGGACTTAAACACATTGAACAAATGGTTGAACATAAGAATAGTCTGTTAGATCAGGCCAATGGCCCATCTAGTCCAGCACCCCCGTTCTCACAATGGCCAACCAAATGCATGTGGAAAACCTGCAAGCAGCATCTGAGCACAAGACCGCTCTTCCCTTCCGTGGCTTCCAGCAACATGTATTCGGAAGCATTATTGCCTCCGACCATGGAGATAGATCACTGTCATCAGGGCTACTAGTCATTGACAGCTCCTCTCTTCCACGATTTTGTCTAATCCTCTTTTTAAGCCATCCAAGTTGGTCACCATCACTGCCTCACGGGGGAGGAAATGCTATACTTCAACTATGTGCTGCATGAACAAGTCCTGCCTTTTGTCTGTCCTAAATCTTACAATATTCAGCTTCATTGAACTTGTACAAGTTCTAGTGTTATAAGTAAAGGAGAAAAACAAGTCTGAGTGCCCCACCACTTTCCTCGGGAAAACCCACCCTTTACCGCTGAATCAGAATACAGTGGTACCTCGGGTTACAGGCGCTTCAGGTTACAGACTCTGCTAACCTAAAAATAGTACCTCGGGTTAAAAACTTTGCTTCAGGATGAGAACAGAAATCGCGTGGCGGCGGCGCGGCAGCAGCAGCGGGAGGCCCCATTAGCTAAAGTGGTACCTCAGGTTAAGAACTGTTTCAGGTTAAGAATGGACCTCCAGAACGAATTAAGTACTTAACCCGAGGTACCACTGTAAATGTCAATCCGCAGAAAACCTGACTGACATTTATTCCAATTCAGTGGTAAACAAGGGGGAAGAGGAGGGACAAGTGGAAGTGTGGGCAAGCCCTAATCTAAACTAAGAAGTCTCAAACACTGCAACCTTTCAATACAGTTAGCTACCATTTTGGAAGGTATTAATAATTCATCTTATATCAGAAAATCTTGAGTGGCAAGTCGAACAAGTTACCCACATGACTGTAGGAAATGTGGATGAGATTTCTATCCTGGTCTATTGTACCAATTTTTATCTGCAAGGCTAAAGGTTTGGCAGCAAGCCAAGTTACATACATTTACATATGAAGCAGTAATTTCCATTCACTCAATAGCAGTCCATAAATATTTATCAATGTGGCTTTCATTAACTCCATTTCCTAGGTATAATAAGGCATGCTCACCATTACCACCTGCAAGTAATAACACTTCAAACCGCCCCTCCGAATGCACAGGGCTGTGGTAGCAGCTGAATGTCTGCCATTGTCCCATCCAGTCTGACTGTTATAACAATGCAAGGAAAGCCCTGCTGGATCAGGCCCAAGGCCCATCTAACCAGAGGCAGATTTATGGGAGTAGGCCTGGTTCACCCACACTGGGCACTGAAATTTCAAAACACAAAGTTTGCCACTGATCTTGCTCTCACGGTGGCCAACCAGATGCCTTTGAGAAGCCTGCAAGCAGGGCAAGTGCAACAGCACTCTATACCAGTAAAGGTAAAGGGACCCCCGCCCCCACGGCTCCACGTCACGCCACCCCCTCCCTCCCTCCCTCCCTCGACTTCCCGCTCCCCCCTCGCATTCCAACGCCCCGCCCCGCCCCTCCCCATCACTCTCCCAAATCCCACCCCCTTCGCCGCTCCACTGCCGTTAGGGAGGGCGCCTGAGGGGAGGCGAGTCGCCCGCGCGCCACGAAGGAGCCCCTGCTTCGGCAAGAAGCCAACCGCCTCTCCCGACGCCCCTCAGGGGAACCCTCGCCACCCCCCTCCCCCCTCCGCCCGGACTTGCCTGCCAACTTCGGTCTGTTCCCCCGCCGCGCAGCCCGCCTAACTTCTCCTCAGAGGGACTCGCGCTTTCCTCTCCCGCCGCCGCCGCCGCCGCTTCTCTTCTGCCCGTCTCTCGCACTCGCGGCGCCGCCGCCGCCGCCTTTCCCAACAGCCGCCCGCCCGCCCGCCGCTCCCGAGCCAAGCTGCCTCAGCAGCCCGAGCGGCCGCGCGCGGGCGGTAGTTTAGGCGGGGTGGGCGGGGCTCCCGCGGGGAGTCGGTCGGCCAATCCGGTGGGCCGGTGGGCGGGCCTATGCAAATGAGGCGGCGTGGGCGTCTACTTCCAGGAGTGTGTGTGTGTCAATAGCCTTGTGGACTTGGAAGGGACCACGAGGGCCATCTAGTTCAACCTCCTGCAACGCAGGAATGGTTTGCCCAACGTGGGGCTCGAAACCACGACCCTGAGGTTAAGAATTTTATGCTCTACGGTTTAAAGCTTTCCTGCAAAAATTGTGTGTGTGTTTCCTGGAGATATCACTCAAATCACAGCACTTGTTTTAAGAATAAAGCTTAAAGATGGCAACTCCTTAAAAACTCAACAGTCTTTGAGCACAACCAACCATTTATTTTACAACAAAGCAGCATCTGTCCCCAAGCTTTCTTCTGAGGCTGCAACCCCTCCCTCCGCCCCTAGAACTGAGCTCAAAGAAGCTTAACTGCCATGAAAGTCTGTTCACATAGGACTACGAATAAGGTTACAGGGAAGAAGAGGGCAAAATGGCAAGGTAAGTCAATGTAAGAGACTCTTAGACCCATGCAATCTTTGCATAAAGGTAAAGGGACTCCTGACCATTAAGTCCACTCGCAAACGACTCTGGGGTTGCGGTGCTCATCTCACTTTACTGGCCGAGGGAGCCAGCATACAGCTTCCAGGTCATGTGGCCAGCATGACTAAGCCGCTTCTGGCGAAACCAGAGCAGCGCACAGAAACGCCATTTACCTTCCCACCAGAGCAGTACCTATTTATCTACTTGCACTTTGACGTGCTTTCGAACTGCTAGGTTGGCAGGAGCTGGGACCGAACAACAGGAGCTCACCCCGTCGTGGGGATTCAAACTGCCGACCTTCCAGACCTTCCAATCGGCAAGCCTTCCAATCGTTCCATGGCAACCACTGAGTCTCTTTCCTCCACTGAAATTAGACTCCAAAGAAGTATTCTGTTTTAACCAATCAAATAGGAGGGTTATGTGCTTGATTGCAAGTTTTGGGTAGCGCACATGACCATTTCTCCAGTTTGCAAATGTGCATAGGGGCCTCAAAAGGCTGGCAACCCCTTTTTTAATTGATGACTAGGTACCAGGTCTCTGAAGTTATTTAAGCACTATTGCCACATTTAATAGGTGTCATGTTGCACATCCAGTGTGTCACATCTTGCAGTGCAGTTTGGAGCACCTCAGGTACCATGACACTTTCAAGCTGTTGACTCAAAAGATATCAAAGATATTATTGGACTATGATATTACTATTATTTAAGTTTTTTCTTTTATTGTCATATACAAAATACAGTTACATGTTGGAAGGCACTTTAGGCTGCATACAAATGTCACTCTTTTTGTGCAATCATCTGTAACATTAGAAGATTAACTGCCCACCTGTTGTCTTCTTTGCTTATAGAGAAGCATACCCATTCAGATCATTAGAAGAGGTATATTTATTTCTTTTTTGTCAGAAATGGGCCTACATTTATTTCCAAAGAGCTTTACAGTTTCTACAGTAGAAATTTTTCACATCATCCTCCAACAGAACAGAACAGAAAAGAATTGCATTAGGTTTTAAATAATGCAGCTTTAGATGACATCATGAATTTTGTGCTTGTAGTCCAAATACTTGTAAGAGTTTTTTGCATTTGGGGAGTTAAATCATAAGAGAAATAAATCATTAACAGTTATTCTAAGTTAAACATTGGAGATCAACAAAAACAAACATTTTTATTGTTAATGTCTAAACAGGCTTTTGCTGCTGTTTCTTCTTCAATTAGAACCATACTGTCTCCTTATTTTTATTTTTGGCACAATGTTAATTCCTTATCAGTGGAAATGGGATCTGGAGCTATCCGTTAGTATAAATAGATGCCTATTTGTCGATCACGATATCTCTAGCAATGAGCTCTTTCATTATTTCATTAGTACCACCATATATTGGCTGAACACGAGAATCTACAAAAGATCTAGAGAAAAATGTCAATGAGTAGATTGCAAAACATATTAGTACTTCTAAATAGAAACATGTGTCATCAGGGACACAAGCTTGGATCCTGGGAGAAAACTGCTCTTAATCTTCAAGTGTGCATTGCTTAAATTACGGTAGTTTTTACAGAGCAATTGTTTCATCAGAGTCTGTTACATTCTCCCTCACTATGCTAAGCTTTGGGGAGAAAATTGTTTTTATGCTGTTTATTTATTTATAAAGATAAATATTTAAAAAGTAACAACAACAAGGAGAAAGTAAGATACAAAGCTAATTGTCATATTGATGATTACACTAGCACACTGTCTAACATTTATATTCTTGTTAATAATAACCATTTTTAATTTATTTTCCAGATGCTTCAGTCATTTCGAAAGAAGTTCTGGTCTGTCCATAAAAGACCATGTGTGTTTAGAGGTTTCCAATAAAGTTCCTTGCAAGCAATATCTATCTATCTATCTATCTAATCTCGTTTTTTTCCGTCTATAAGACGTTCCCCTAATTTTTGACATTATTTTTTAGGAAAAAGACCTAGTCTTATACACAGTAATTCTTAGGAATAAAATGATGGGACCTTAAATGTTTGAAAAGACAACAGGACATAATTTTGACCATAGAGACAAATAATATATCTCAAAGTACCCCAAAGGTTGGGTGATGAGCCATACATTACTTAACTGGGATCTTAAGTACCGTTCGTTGCTGCAGCTTGTGAGGTCCAAACTGGCCCACTGTCATCCTTAAATCATATTAATAATGATGCTGAAATATCTGCATGGCAGCACTGTCATAACAGTTTCTCATCTGAAGAGAAACTGGTTAGTAATTCAGCTCAAGCACCAGTCTCAGTTTCTCTAGACCTATTGATTATAATGTTCTGCAACTCCTCTTCTTCACAACCAATAGATAATGAAGTTTTACGTTTTGGAAGAAACTGCCTTAATCCTGTTTAAAGGTGAGTGTTCAGGTTTCAACCAGTCACTGGACACAGAGAGGACACAGGGGCTCAATTAAAATTCCCGTGTCAACATTTTGTACTTAAAGAACACAAACATCATTTCACAGCTTTGTAGACTTAACTGGATAAGTAAAAGACCACTGAAACATCTCTCTTTATGGATGATCAGCTTTTCCCAAACAACAGGCATGCCTGTGGGGATAAAAAGTAGTCGTACTTACTTTGCAATTGGATATTCCCACATATATCCCCATCCTCCATGGAGTTGCACGCACTGAGTAGCCACATTGTTTTGGAGATCAGAAGCCCTTAAACAGAGAGAAAAGTCTGTTTCCAAAGCAGTTGAGCTTAGATCTCTTAAATAAGTTGCACCACCATGATCTTTTAATAATCACCATTTTGAAATAGCTTGCATGATGCTCAAAATAATGTATTGGCTGTAGAAAAGGTTTCAAATGCAGGTTGATGCAACATTTAGAGGGGAATTCAATGCAGCACTAAGGAGATCACTCTGCCAGGGAACAATATCTCCCCCCCCCCAATCCTGTTCTGGGGGTTCTCCAGACCCTCCCGAGCCGATTTGGAAGGAGAGGGGGGGTACAACGAGGGAGAACAGGGGAAAGCCATATTGCACTAGAACAAGACCTTGAATTGGCTTCCAGTAGTGGGAAACCCTTAGTTGAATCCAGCCCCCTACAATTCAGCAACAGCTTGGTTTTATGTAATGCTTTCCTTAGTGATAAAAGCACTACCTAGGCAACACAGTTTGATTGGTACTTTTGTCCCAGCGCTGAGTTTTCCATTCCAGTTTAGAATGTGCACACACACTCTAGGATCTTTTCCCATGCAGCAGTAAAAAGAGAACAGCACTATCTGAATACAGCCAGAGTCATACTCAGTAATGATACCAAGAAAACACTATATTTAAGGAAACTATAAGGAGTTTTATTAGGGGATAAGATATGGGTGCCATGGGCTGCAGTATTCACCATGTGGTTATGACTATAGTTAATCATTCTGCACAGACAAAAAGACAATGGTGATTTCCTTTTCTTAGAGGCTAAGTAAAATTACTTTTCTATCAGGCATTTATACCCAAATTTCTTTTCCATAACTGGAAATACCCCATCTGGACTCTGTTATTGGTGTGTGTTTCTCTTTCTATAGTTTCCACAAGAGAAAAATCAGTATAGCCTCACAAAAATGTTTTCTGTCCTTCTAATCTAGCATCTGATTTCTTTCAACCATGCAGTTAATTCAATCTGGCATCAGTACAAAGTATTACCTTAGCTGTTTTTACTTGTCTAACTCTGGTAAAACATAAGTTAATATGTAACAGCAATAACAACCCAGCGGCTTTTTCTGGCTAATGAAAAATGGAACTCTAAAGAGGCAGCCCAGGTCAGGATGTGTTATAACATGGCAAGTGGGCAACATTTCCACCCTGAAGAGCCAGAGAGATTTGGGGAAATGCTTGGTGAAAAATGCCGAGTCTATGTTTATGCAGCATGCTATATGGAACTACTTATTTGATAAACCTTCAGCCGTTTTGTAATAAGATCGTGTTACGGTTTCCAAAAGCCATTCAACTCAGCAATTAAGCATTGTTATGGAAGCCAGACTTCTAATATCATGGTCTCTTCAAGCTGTATTTTGCCAAGAGCAATTTAGAAGCTGAGGTCAAGATGATTTGTCTACCTCAAAAGAGGAGGGAGAGAAAAAGAAATACAAAATCTTCCTGAATAAATCAGCTGACAAACTTTATTCAGTTCAAGGACTGCAAGTAGCCAACGCTGCTTTAAAACCAACCCAGCATACCCAGTTTCCAAATCTAAGGAACCCAGTAATTTCCAGTAATGGGTGCCAGAGTCTTTTATTAAAGGGGCCTCACCCATTTGTACTGCATTGTAGTCATGCAGCCAGATTCTTTCCTACTTTCTAATTGCCTTTCCAGACTTGTTCATAGCCAATAAACACAGTGTTCATTTGGTATATAGACCTCACCTCACTCATGGCATCATATTATTTTGAGGACAAGGCATTTTCCTCATCTAGAGGCAGCATCTGTGCTACTACAAGTGCTGCATGGGGTGTGACCGTGACTAGTATTCTTAGTGACGAGCAATCAAGAAACAACCCTCTGTCACATTCTTCTGTTTTCTTTCCATTTTAATTCCCTGCCTGCTGCTATTGTGACGCCCCCCCGACATCCTGAAATATTACCAACAGTGCCTCCTGATGCCTGGTATTTGACCCCCACTATGGTGAATACTGAATAGGCATATATATTGCATTTTTAATTTCCCAGTGCACATTTTCGCATTAACCCCTTTTTCACAATAGCTCACTGATTTGCAGTGGAAGTCTAGAATTATCAAGGAAGTGGAACCAACCACTAAATGAATTTCTGGTCTGCGGCCGAGACCCCTTACACCAAAGGCAGAGACTCTCCTGCCATCAGTCTCACGAAACAATGCACCTCCATTAAGACCGCAGCTTTTGTTGGTCTCCAATTTCCCAAAAGTATGACAGGCTTGATCTAAATCAGGAACCTAAAGACGTTCTCATTCTCTTTCAGAACTTCTTTCTCGCAAGGAACACTATTGGTCAGGCAAGAAGGTATAATCAGCAAAGTTAGATTGATTTTACTGATTTTATTTGCAAGCCTGTGTGTGATAGTCGCCTTCCATTTCCTCTCATCAAACATTCTTTAAATACTTGAGCATTTAAATTCGCTGCTTTAAAATGTATTTCTCATTAACAATTTCCCCTGTGTGCTGGAGGCTGTTAAGCTACCCCCTTGTGTTCCAATGATATTTCACAGGGTTTTGTTCTGTGTCCCCTTAGCTGTAGCAAAGTAAATATCAAGCTCCTTACTGTTTATATTTCTAGAGCTTGGCTTATGCAGAGAAGTCCTTGTCAGCTGGGCTCAGACACCCTCCCAAAGAGCCTAGAGGAGCCTTTGCTGGCAGAAGTCCAAAATGTCTGATAGAGTTGGAAGGGACCCAGGGGGTCATCTAGTCCAACCCCAGGCTGGCAAAGGCTAACTTAGAGGGGGTTTTCACATTTCGTTTGTGGTGGCAGCCTATCAGGATGTATTTGTTGTTACTGTTAACTTTCTTGCACTTAAGTGTTGAATGGCCTCATGTGGAGCATCCAGACCTAAATACTTGCACAAGTGCTAGGATTAGCATTAGCACAATGGGCTTCCCCCACCTCTCCTCCCCGGTGGGACTTCCAAATCTGTTCCAGAGGGGAACTCAGAACAATATTACACGGTGCGGATGAGAACGTTCTGTGGTGCAAGGGGAAATCCCTGTGCTGATTGTGTGATCTGCTTCATGCTATGTTGAACACAACTGTTCTATTTAAGAAGTAGTTGCACTTTCCTAACCATTTCAGGAATTTTTACTTCCATTTTAAAAAATCAACCCTGCTGTTCAAAATGAGCCCTGGGGTGTGCATCCCACTTCTCATATGCACAAGTATTTGTGCACAGAAGTAGAAAAATTAAACTGAAGGAAGGATCATGGAGACATTTGTCACCCCCCCAGGAAATTCTTCGCACCCCTGTAAGAAAGGCCTTTCACAGCCTGTCAACCATACGAGGTTATGTTCAATGTAACTGTTCAAAAGACAGAGATGTTATATGGAAAGTTAGATAACTTGTTTAACACACATACCAGTACTTGGCCATTGAAGCGGTGGCAGAATCCAGTCGTTTCACGGAGTGGAGCTGGAGACAGCTATCCAGAAACGTACGACCTACACATGTTTGCGTTTTCAGTTCTGCTAGCTTGTGCTGCACAGTCTTCCAATTCAAGAAAGTAAATGCACAGTTTATTTACCTGGGAGTAAGATCCATTAGAACTGAGCAGCACTGAAATTTAAGAGGGCTATTTGAAATGGAAGATCGGGTCAGGCACCCCATAATGTACTTCTCCTATATTTTATGTGGGTTAATGATCCATAGGCTGGCAGGTTCAACTCTCCCACGGCACAGAATGCACCACCCACAAAGTTCCAAACTATTCTTAAAATGTACATTACACTGTGTACTCTGGGAAACATTTGTGAAGGTAAGCCACTGTAGCATCAGGAAGACCTGTGGAGGTGCTCCAAGGAAGCACAGATATAGATGTGCTACGTGGAAGGTGCCTGGGAAAACGGAAATGAGACAAGCTTCTGGTGAGAAGTGGATACCTATCAGTATTTCCCAAACTTGGGTCTCCAACTGTTTTTGGACTACAACTCCCATCATCCCTTTACTAGCAGGACCAGTGGTCAGGGATGATGGCAGTTGTAGTCCAACAACAGCTGGAGACCCAAGTTTGGGAAGCACTGCTTGGCAGAGAGAACAGAACCAGTATAAAGACAGAAGGCAGGGTGAGGTAGGGGAGAAAAGGCAATAAATGATATGAGGTTGAACCCAGATTTTGTTTGAAATTGCTAGCAAGGAAAGTATTTATTTCACCTGGAAGGATACTGTTTTCTCAGGGTATATCAGGTTTGCCATGCTGTACTGTATCCAGGACCAATTCTATGGATTTCTCTAAAATTTACACTTGTAAAAATTAAGTTCTTGAGGAAAAAATGGTGAACTGACTCATGCACATGCTGCTAAACTATGTTTTTAGTGTGATGTGGAATTCAATGTCTCGCTGTGGTGAACATTCCACCAGCGCAAGCCTTGCAGTTTGTCAGATGTCACCGTCTCCCCTTACCCCATGTACCATCCAGGAGGTTCTCCCAGCTACCCTAGAGTCAAATCTGGGGCCAAGGAGAGGGGGGAAAGGCCGATTGCACATTAGGTGAATCAAACAGGTAGTCTGAAGTATGGTGTCAGTGCTTGTCAGAGTAATATATGCTTTATGGGATTCATACATTTATTATGACTTTACAGGACAAAGAAACATGCCTAAATGCTTACCTGCAAATGTGCAACTGTTTTTCCAAAAGCTTTTCTTTGTTTAACATAGTTTCTTGTCTCTTCAAACATGAATTCACAACTGGCAATTGCCATATCAGCAATCAACAACCTTTCCTTAAGAGATGGAGGGAGAAAACATTCTCACATGTGCTCATTACCACAGAAAAGCTATTCATATGCACAGTTCTGTATTTGATATTCCCTGCCATTTCATCACATGCTAAATTAGTCTTCCCAGTCTTTAAAAGTGACATGGACCAGAATTAAGCTTCTAATATTTTCAACATTCTTCAAAATCCCCACACGGTTCAATTTGGATATAAAATTTTTAGTCCCAGATCCAAATTGCTAGACATGTGTCTAGAATAGCAACATCAGCCCTATATTGATGGCCAATGTGTGCAGCGTATAAGCACAGCGGGGGGGGGGGGGGGTTGAGATTACCACTTTGCATCCATGCGCCTGAGAACCTGTCCACACAGGGGACCTAAGTACATGCACCTCATGTATGTACATTCTGAACACACAATATATTGTTAGGAGTTTGTGGGGTGCCACACACCCTAAATTCCTCAGGTTGTATATGTGTGTGTGTGTGTGTGTGTGTGTGTGTAAATAAATCATATATTGTAAAGACATTAGTCTTTTCTATGCCTCACTGTCCAAAGGGAAACAGACTCCATGTAAAGCGCACCTGCAACGCCTGGAATCTTGCACCGCTCTTCGAGTTTGGGATGGCGCATAACAACAATGCACCCTGAGAAAAACTGGACGTGGAATATATGCATGTAGGGCCATATGCAGAAGCTATGTTCAAATGTTAAAGATAAGTAAAAAGGTATCAGTTTTACACTCCTAAGTAGTAGCTGTTGCCAAAACATTACCCCATTTGCCTCTACATAGTTACATCCTTTTTTCAGACATTGTGAGATATCAGGATGACGTGATGTTCAGCAGGTGATATATCACAATACTGAAAAGCAGATATGACCCAACCCTATCCCAGACAGTGAGCAGAACTGCCTCATCTCGTCTTGCTACTTGCGCCAGCCAGACTAGAAGGTGGATGGGATGGGGTTTTTTTTCTCATTTTTCGCTGTGCCAGCTCCAGAATGGAACAGCTGAAGATGGAGTAACTAATGTTAAACAACAGTTATCCATTAGGCTGTGATCAAATGCGTCTGCAACAGATCTACTCAATATGGTATCATAATTTGAAATCAAATTGTCCATCCACATTCATTTTAATATTAAATTGGCATGGCAAAAATCAGTTACATTATCAAACCATTTCTTAGGAAGCTGTGATCTCTTAAATTAACACACAGGTCTGTAACCCAGTAGAAAGAAGATCACACGTCAGTTTCAAATGCAGTATTTCCAACATGAAGCAGCAAAAAACCCACGCTGAGATCAGCAGGTGGTGGCTGCTGAAATCCTGTGTTGGAGATCAAATGTCACACCATGCAATCTGTCGCTGGCAGCTTGCTGCAATGAACAAGTCATGCCTTTGTGTGCCTCAGTGTGGTTTTATGTCTCCCCTACCTGAGGAAGCTCTGCCATTAGATAATAGAAGCCTTTGTTCTCCTGTCCAAGCAAGGCCCCAGCAGGCAGGCGGACATCTTCAAAAAACAGTTCTGCCGTGTCCTAATTTTTAAAAAAATCACACAGAAAATTTGCCAACACCATTTTGCAAGTCTGCTTCTTGTTCCCTTCATACACACAGGCTCAGAAGTCTAACTGCTCATGAAAGTTATAGCTCACAACATCCATTTTCTAGGACCAAATGCAATGTAGCAGCAGTAGCCATGTTTGTCTCAAATGTCTGTCCCAGCGCCAACACTTGGTGAGCCGTAGGGTGTGCCTAATACTTAACATCATGCATGGGGGACAGGAGACAAATCCCACCCCTCCATCAACCCAGGTACTGTACTTTTCTCAGATGGGCTCACTTCCATTACTGGAACAGGGTTGGGGCAGGACATATATACACACACAGAGCAGGAGTTTGGGAAACTGACCTTGGGGAACTGGTGCAGTGGAAGTTAAGCTGTCTTCACCAATGCACCACTTTTGATGCAAAGATCAGGTTCCTGCCCCACAGCTCACTTTGTGTCAAAGGGGCAGACACATGAGATGCCAAAGGTGGCTGCCACCACCATGGGATGCCGCTGCACAAGTAGCTTCTGGGTAAAGGGCTCCTTTGCGTGATGTGTGGTCCTGCACCCACCTTTCAATTTTGCTGTCTATTTTAATGCTAAATAATACACTTCTTAATAGTTTTAGAATATTTATGTCATTCCTCAAGTTGCATTCATCACAGGCAATCATCAGAGTGGCTTCTCAGACTCCCACGACTCACCTGTGCTTTAAGTCCTATTTTCTCAAGTTTACGCCCTTTGATGAATCCTTTCATTCCTTCTTCTACCAGAAAGAGGCTAATGCCATGAGCAGGGGAACGGGCCTCACGGTTTGTAACAGCCACGACAATTACTACATCACTCATCCAACCATTAGTAATGAACACCTGCAATACAATGGAGTGGGATAAAGTAGCTACATACTATTGTTATGACTTTCTTTGTCTTGGAGACAGGGTCTCTGTTGAGGAACTCCAAAGCAGCTGCAGCCATTTACAATGCCACGGTGATTTGCAATGAACATTCACATGGAGGAGAGGGGAACCCACCACAACAATGCTACCATAGAGTCAGCCATTCCAGTTTTTACTGGCGATTTCTCTCTGAGCAAATCATTGCTTATTCGTTTTATCTTGCAGCTTTAGTGCTAATTGTCTAGTTTAATCAAGATCACTTTGAATTCTTGTTCACAGGACAGGATACAGAAGAGACCCAAAGATATCCCACTGCCAAGTGATCCCCATCACAAGGAGTAAGGCAGGCGGGGGAAAAGAGGCTCACGATTCTTCTAATGCAGCTCAAGCTCTTAAAAAAAGAAGCAGCAAACCGAACATTAGCATAAAGTAAACTTATAATCCAGTAAGCACACTTAACTAGGGCAGACTTCTCAAACTTAGTGCCCTCCAGGTGTTTCGGACTTCAAGCCCCAGACTGCAAAGCCATATTGCTTGGGGATGATGGAGACTGTGGTCCAAAATATCTAGAGAGCACCAGTTGGGGAAGGCTGCTGTAAAGCCCTGTGGAGGACAATGAGACTTAATTCTGACCAAGTAAAGATGCTTGGGATTGTGCTGAAAATCAACCATGCCACCGAAGCCTGCAGAACACTTTGCTGTAACTAATTTCAGCATGTCAGAAAAGCCGTGAACAAGTGAAAGCAATAGAAAAAATTAAGAATGTTCTCGTCTCTTTTCCCAAACATGGCAATAAATGCTGTTACATCCTAAAAAGCCCTGCCACTTTGTGTGGCATTGTACTGACTGATGAAAATGTTTTGTATCCTGGCCTTCCTCCAATTTGCTCAGGGTCCTGCACATGGGGCTATCTATTCTATCCTTACAACAACCTGGGAGGTAGACTGAGAGGTGGTGTTCCCCCTCCTCCTCCCTGCCCCAAACTTTTATCAGAGAAGAAGAGAAGCAGTTCAAACTAAAGGATCTAATAACAAAGCAACAGCAACCTGGCTGCATGCAGTTGGCATCCAGCATGGCATTTTCCTTGAACCCTGAACAATACACTCACCGAGAAAGTAAACTCTTTCTTTTTTCTCTTTTGCACTGATGTAGTCAAGTTTTTATTTGCCTCCTTGGTCCCCTCAGGCAGTTTCATACCAAGGAAGCCATTCTACTGCCAACTCTTTTGAACTGTGAAATATTTGCACATTGGTTACCCTGTGCAGGCCAACTATGTTAGAACACGAAAAGGCCAAATTCTTCAGATGGTCTTTATATCTTCCCCAGATAAAAGAAGTACAGAAGAGCACTTGCTAGGCTGGTTGAGTTTTGAGGCTGCCGGCAGAAGTAGCCACATTACCTGGCAGCATGAATTCTCGTAAGAAACATAACGGGAAGCAGCTTGGCACTGCTTCTTGGGCAAAAGGTACAGTGGCAAGACCATTCAGAAGCCATTATCTCAAAGGGCTGTAAGATGAAGCCTACACCGAATCCAGAATAATTTATCCTTCCTGCACATACCTTACTGCCATTTAGAATCCAGTCACTTCCATCCTTTTTTGCGTATGTTCGCACACCCTGCAAATCGCTAACAATAAAACAGTTCTTAATAGTACAGAGGAAAAGGCACAGTATTTATTTTTAAATAACCCCAGCATAGATAGATCACACACCAGGGAATCTATTATATATAAAAGCAAGTTCTCCGAATAGTCACACAAACAAAAACAAAGAGAAAAGAACCCCAAGCAGAATCCAGAAGAGAGTTAGGCATATATGGGAGGAAATTCAGTGTTAACAAGGGATATGAAAAAATAGATCCTATTCTAATGGTGATCCATTGCCATTCACTCCTACAAGGGGGGAAAGTATAGCACTGCCCTTACGAACAGGGCTGCAATAAGGGCAAAATCTGCCCTCCGTAAGGAGGCTCCACTGTATTCAATGCGGCTTACCCACAGGTAAGCATGCACAGGATTGCACAGTAAGGGAGCAACTCTTTTTTATTATTTAAAACATTTATTCAAAGGTTACAATGCAGTTTTGTTCGCTGCCAAAATATCACAGAATGAGCAATTCTAAGGTCTCAGCAAGGAGCAGTGGGACAGAATAGCAGAATCAAAAGCCTCGCCAGGTCTTGCCAGCCAGGGCCGAATGTGGGAAGGAGCACTTTCTCTCTCTTTTTCCAGCTCCAGTAGCTGGCCGGCACAGATTGGCCCCTATCCAAGTTATGGACCAGTTTAGGATCCTGCTCCACCTTCATAATGCCCTGTTTCAGAGCCATATCAGGAACACTACTGGTAATAGCATTCAATTAGCCATGGGGATCTCTGCAGAAGGAAGAGCCCACCAACAGCAGAGGCAGGAAGAGGTAAGCAGACAGGGACATCTGCTACATCCTAACCTCCTCCAGCAACCTGGCTCCAGGGGTTCAGACTGCAGCCTAATTAGCCACAATAATTTTTTAAAAAGCATTATCTAAAAAGAAAAACAGGGTAACAAAAAAAATTAAAGCATACATTAACGCTTAATTTTCATGTGGAGCATTTGCATCCAATGTTACTTCAGCGGTGAGTGCTTTGCTTCTTTTTTCATCTAGTCCTGGAATAACAGCTTCCTGTTGATAATTATTCTGCCTCCTGCACTTGGAATCATGTGCATATAATTTCTTGTAACAGTAGTAATGCTTTGCATTTATGGTGTTAACAGTTCCTCCTGTCTACACACTCAGAAATACTTAATACTTAGCACTGTTTTTATACAAGGAGCAGAGGCAACAGATGGTGATTTGCCAGTGGACTCTTAGTGAATTTGTGACAGAGGAGAAATTAAAACTGGTTCCTTCCTGGTTCACAGCTCCACCTTTCGACCACTACTCTAGCTCTCTGACCTAGTTCAGCAAAGTTAGAGGAATTTTCTCTGACAAAATGGTCCACCAATTTTACCTTATACAGGAAGACAAAAGTATTTGAAATCTTACAGAGCACACACACTTAATGGGACTTACTTTTTACAACAATTAATTTTTGTAATTTCTTGGCTCACCTCCCAGCACCAGGCTCTGTCATAGCTATTGCACCAATACATTTGCCAGCTGCCATTTCTGGAATGAACCTCTTAATCTGCTCTTTTGAACCATAATTTGCTATATATGGCATGACGATATCGGAGTGAAGGCTGAATCCTGGGCCTGTGCAGTTAACATACATTCTGAAAAAGAAAAAAAGAAGTCAAGAGATGTTCAAAAAAGCAGCTTCACATTGATTTCAGGCTGATTTTTAAATACAATATCAAAACATAGAGAAACCTAATTATCAAATTATTTTTCATAATTCCATTGTTTTTGGTATCTAAAGTTTTTGTTACTGAGGGGGAGTTATGAAGCTAGGGACTGGATTTACTTGTTCAAAATTATTCCTTAAAGATAAGTTAAATCACACAATAGTGCCACATACTGGCCTTTCCTTTTTTAAAGGAAAAAGAGAAAGAGAGAGACCATGATCTAGGACTGAGATATACAGCTGCAGATAAAACATTTTAAGTGTGTTGTAAAGTGCATTACACAAATGTGGCACTAGATGGCAATGGTGAGCTATGGCAAATTTTATATATATATATATATATATATATATATATATATATACACACACACACACACACACACACACACACACACACACACACTTTCACAGCTTTTTTATGTGCCTAGATTCCACCCTAGCCTCTCAACATACTGAAGGCGTGGCATTTTGACACAAATACAGATAACTGCAATCAAGTGCCGTAGGGGTTTCTGAACTGTACCATTGCAGTCTGGGGGTGATGATGGAATGGAAAGTAACATGTCAGGGTCAAGGATTATAGCCTAGCCTTCTCTGCAATGTGCAAATTTTCTATGGGAAAGGATATACTGATAGGGGGGACATTCAAGTAGTCTGGGGAGCATTTCAGCCGAGATGCTGATTTAACATCTCAGCAAGAGCTGACATAAATACATAAAATGACCATCAAACAACAACAACCAGATTCACAGCAGTCTACCATTTAGCATCAAATCAATGTCCTGCACAATAAGATCAAGCAGTCTACAACTCAACATGAGATCACTTTTTAGTAGTTGTCAAAATATGGACCCAACAGTGGCAATGGTATCTCAGGAGGGATGGAATTCCATATCCTAAGTCACCACCACACATAGAGCTCTGAGGAACACACAGAAGGACTATGACCTGCAGATCTCAGTAAGTGGGTAGGCTGATATACAGAGAAGCTTTCCTTCAGGTATCTACACCCCAAGTTGTTCAGGGCTTTATACATTTCAGAAGAATTAGCAATACCCTAAAATGCTGCCATCAGGGTGCAAAAGGGAGGGGAAGCCAACAACAGTGTTCCCAAAATATATGGCCATAGGAAATCAAGAGCAAAAAGGTACTTGACATTGAAAAAATTATTTCATGGTGCATTTGCTACTTACTGCTCTTCCCAAACGACTGCTGCAGAGAAAAGATCCCCTCCAATGCCACCATGTTCTTCTGATATATTGACACCCAGCAAGCCCTGCTGTCCAGCTTTTTCCCAGATCTCTCTGCTCACCTGTCCAGCTTTCTCCCACCTGCAAATAAAACAAAATTTGAGCGGAGTCTGTGGGATACTTTTTTACAGTGTGCCGGGCGGAGGCGGGGGACACAAAACTGAGGAATTGCTCTATAAAAATGCATTGACTGAAAACAAAGACGTTTAGAAGCAAACCTATACACAATACCAAGAGTTGAGGATTGCTTATATGTGTCTGTACGTGCACATGTGCACACTCACACCTGCTGATTCAGAGATGCAAGATTTAAGCACGGGGTGGGGGGGGTGTTCGTTGGATTTGTTCCCCTCCCCCCCAATGGAGATACTGCAGCCACATTAAAATAAATAAAGGAAGCCCCTGTCTTGGTCCTGCCACCCTCACAGGCACACTTGGTGGGGAAGCGAGAGAAGGCCTCCTCGGTGGCTGCTCCCAGACTTTGGAAGTTCCTCCATAGAGAAGCTAAACTGACTCCCTCCTTGTTGTCCTTCTGCCAGCAGGTGAAGACTTCCTTGTTCTCAAAAGTCAGTTCCCAAAAGCCAAAAAAACAGGCTTTGGAGAACTGACTGCAGCTGGTGTCATGCTGCTATTATTGCAATTATTGGTATAGTTTCAATAGTTATTATACAGTGGTACCTCGCAAGACGAATGCCTCGCAAGACGGAAAACTCGCAAGACGAAAGGGTTTTTGGTCTTTTGAGTTGCTTCGCAAGATGATTTTCCCTATGGGCTTGCTTCGCAAGACGGAAACTTCTTGCAAGTTTGTTTCCTTTTTCTTAAAACCGTTAATACAGTTGCGACTTGAGTTCGAGGAGCAACTCATAGCACGCGGTGTGGTAGCCTTTTTTGAGGTTTTTGAAGACTTTGGTATTTTTGAAGCTTTTCCAAAACTTTTCCGACACCGTGCTTCGCAAGACGAAAAAATCGCAAGACGAAAAAACTTGTGGAACGAATTAATTTCGTCTTGCGAGGCACCACTGTATATATATATAGTTTTAATTTTATCCATGCTTAATGGTTTTTTTAATGATTTTCTATATTTAAGCATTTCTTGTTTTTATCTGTAGGCTGCCTACAGGGGGAAAAGGCAAGGTATAATAATAATAATAATAATAATAATAATAATAATAATAATAATACTCAGAAGTAAGTCCCATTAAGTTTAATGGGGCAAACTATCAGGAAAGTAGGTATAGGGTTGCAGCCTTTGTTAACCTGCTGCATTACATTATTAAACCAAGGGCCAAACTATATTTATGTTAAATGCATGAATGCACAACAAGGGGAGGGCAGGATTTTTAGCCACAGAGAGACCTGATCAGGACTACAGTGTGTGTGGTTTTGTTCTGCAATCCTTTTATCCCATGCCACTGTTCCAGCAAAGATACCCCAGTCCTGCAAAGTTGCTAAACACTGTACGATGGAAACTTCCATTGGCAAAAGTATAATCTCTTCTCCTAGAAGAACCGACATGTAATTAAACATTGCTTCTAACAGGAGGTGGCGGGTGGGGGAGAATGGAAAGAACTCCGGTTAACAAACACCACCACAGGCAAGACCACAAGATTTACAATGTTTAACTTACTCTCCATGATGTGGAAGCACAGCTTCCTGGAAGAACTTTCTTACACTTTCCCTGAAGATGTCATGATCCGATGAGAAGATCCTCCGAGTTCCTATGTCCATTAGGGTTTTAGCAGAGGAGGTTTCAAGGCGTGCTGATTCATGATTTTCTGTTTGAATATATCTTTAAAAATAAAATTAAATAAGAGGACCTGTAGGAAAAACATCACATTTATACTGATGATTTTTTTTTTTTAAGCAAAACACTAGTCACAATCAAACTACTTCTGGAAGAATGTGGGCAAAACTGGGAGTTATAAGAACACAGCTTCCACTGAAAACCTATTTATTTGTTGCATTTATATCCTACCCTTTTCTCCATGGAGCTCAAGGTGGTTTACATAGTTCTCCCACTCCTCATTTAATGCCCTGTGGGGTTCAGCTATGATTCAGACTCTTCTGATTCACAGTTTAAACTGATAAAGGTTTGGCATTCCCCACAGAACAATTTCAGTTCCCTGATCTTACGGGAAACTTAATATTATTCACATTCACGCTCACTTGCAAAAACAGGAAAGAGCAATTTAATAATTCTGATGTGTTGCAAAAGATGTCAGCCACAATCCCTAAATTATATGAAACAAGGGTGAAATAATAACTAAAGTATTCAGTGCAACACTGAGACGAAGAGGAAAAAGCTGGCAGCTGCTGCCATCCTCTGGACTGGTTGTCACATTTATTGGTTGGATTTAAATATATTACTCTTCTGCCGTTCTGCCCAATGCAATTTACAATTTCAAAACACCAAATGTAGTCTGGTAAGAGTCCTCTCAGGCCAACTGGGAGCTGACAGCATGTGTGCTCCCTAACCATAGATAGAAGCAACTTTTCCTTGGCACCACTGCGAATGGATCAGCACTGGCTGCCAATCTGCTACTGGGTGAAGTTTAAGTTTTTACTGCTCGAGTGCAAAACTCCTCAGCAGCCAAGGGCCTGAGGTCACCTTCAGCCTGCTTGAACTCTCAGGTCAAATGAGGCCCTCTTGTGGCCTTTTCAGGCTTGCATTGTTTGCTATTGTTCTCATTGGTTTTACAAATGCGTTTCAATCTATTTTTCTTGTTTCAACCTCATATTTTGTTTGCACTTCTTTCCTTTGTTTTTGTGCACCGCTACAATTTTTTTTGAATGGTGGATGGTTGGTAAATTCTAGAAATAAAGCATTATCTTTTCTGCACTTTTGGATATTAGTGTATGCTCCCCTACCTCTTCCACTCACACTTTCCCCTCTGCCAGGACCTCTCCAAACCATTCATCTCGCAGCTAGCTTGACTCAAACGCTCTCTGGACATGAACTGTGCCACGCTGGCACTTTGTACACCAGCTAACAGTCTCCTGGCGTGAAAGATGCACTGACTGGTTTGTCAACAGCATCAGAGAGAGGAGAGAGAGAGTTATAAATAGAACTTTAAATATTTTAAAGCCAGAGGGAAGAAAGAAGTAATTTTCTATTTTTAAACCACCAAGACGATGGCTGTCCCTTTAATAAATCATCTCTTGTAGTTAAATGATAAAGAGAGCAAAGGTATCTTCCAACACCAGCCTTGTCATGTCACAGCAACTATCTAAGCAGCGCAACACAGGCAAGAATTGGGTCAGAGTTCACAGCTGGTTTTTCCAGTCTTACAGGAGTTCTGGATTGGAAATAAGGATACAAGCCACTTGCCTTTTAATTCCTATGGTAATTTATTCCTCTTCTAATTATGGGGCAATTGACAATCACAATCAAACTGCAATTACTCCTCATCTGCACCACTTGCACCCCCTCCAGCAATTAACACTTCCTCCTTTTTTTGAGGCTGGGTTTGCACGCTATCAACAGATGTGCAGCAGGCAGAAATTAAACAGGCGAAGCGTTCAGCATTCTTGCCCCTTCAGTTCTGGCAAAGACTGCGCCGGTGGCATTTATAACCTGTGGCAGGAAAACCCCTCCTTGCGGATTTAGATGCAGAGAGGACCTGGGCTACCCCACTTGTGTGGCCCCTCCCCATCCCCCCCACTCACGAGGAGAAGAAAATGGAAGAGTGTTATAAACAAAACTGAATGAAGCCAAGGATGATGATGGGTACTTAAAATTCTGCAATTCACAATTTCTCCTCTAAAGGACATCAGAAAACTTCATCAAAATCTGTTTGTCTAAGTTTGTCACTTTCAATGTACTGAATGCTCAGTGTGGACAACCTCTCTTGAGACATTGTGGCCCTTAATTCATTTTTAATTCTTTTGGGTCTTGAAAAACTATCTCCCAAGCAGTTAGTGACCATAAAACTAAGAAATAGCCACAAAACTGCTTCCACATTAGGAAAGGCCATCTGAATTTTTTTTCTTGTATATAATTTGAGAAAGCTCTGTATGAGACAAAGAGTGCTCTGCTGTAAGCCTATGGCTTTGTCTCATGTACAGGTGAAAGTGCAAAATATCATCAATAGGTTTCAGGTCAATATCTAATATAGGAATAAAGGATTTTATCCTAAACCTATCTCTTGAAGAAAGTGCATCTAAGGTATCAGATGCTCTTCTGTTCCCTCACTCTTTGTCTCCTTGTTTTGTAGTTAACATTTGGCAAGGTGGCTTTTGGTTGCTTCTCAAGCTCATCAAAATCTTCTCTTTAAAAATTCCAGAAGTGAAATGTACAAACTTGCACAAGAACTCAGTAACAGGTCTGATTTCTTAAGGGCTTTGCTCATCTTGTGAAAATGACCAAGCACACAGATTTATATCTCTAAGATTCTGCAAATTTTGGCTATAAACTAGGGCCCCACAAAATTGGGCCCTAGAGGTTCAAACTGGGCCCCACTGGCTGGCCCTGAGTATCATAGGGTTGCCCTGCCATCGCATGAAGTCTTGGGTTTGCAATTTTGGGAGAGGGGAGACTGCCCACTGGGGGGCAGGCTGGCTAGGGAGGCCCCCTAGATTTAGAGACCCTAGGCTTCAGCCTACTTAGCCTATACATAAATCTGGCACTGCTTGCAATACAGTGGTACCTCGGGTTAAGAACTTAATTCGTTCTGGAGGTCCGTTCTTAACCTGAAACTGTTCTTAACCTGAGGTACCACTTTAGCTAATGGGGCCTCCTGCTGCCACCGTCGTGCAATTTCTGTTCTCATCCTGAAGCAAAGTTCTTAACCCGAGGTACTATTTCTGGGTTAGCGGAATTTGAAGCGTCTGTAACCCGAGGTACTACTGTACATTCTGGGGACAGCTACCCACTACAGCCAAGTGATGTTATAAAGAGGCAGCTGTCTTTAATAGGGGCATAAACAGGCACAGATCTATTTATTTCCAACTAATTTTAAATTTACAAGGGTTCTTTCTTCTTCTCCGGAAGTACTGAGAGTTGCACGGAAAGGGGGGAGGGAGAGAAAGAACTTCAGCGGAAGATCCTTAATGGGAGCTGTTTCTGTTTCTGTAGACTCGCGATCTCAAAACTGCCAGGCGCGCACCGAGGATCTGGGGGACGGACTTCTGTGGGATACTTGCGCCCTTCTTTCCCCGCCGGTGCAAGGCGCTCTCCGTCCCCTGCCGCGCCCAGCTCGGCCCGCTTCTCCAGCCTCCCTGCAGCCCCTGCCCAGCGCTCACCTGGCAGGCGCCCGGCCGCCTGGGAGACAGGAGAGCAGGCGCGCAGCTCGGCGCACCGGCAGCCTCGACGTGGCCATCTTGCCGCTCGGCTCCCTCTCCAGCGCCGCCGCGCCTCCCCGGAGCCCTCCGGCGGACAGGAAAGCGCGCTGCAGCCCAGGATCTCTCCACAGGGAAGGCGGGCCAGGAAACGGCCTGGTTTTGCAGTAGAACTGCCTAGCTGGAACGGGGTGGGTGGGGTCCCAGGGTCATCTAGCCCAACCCCCTGCAATGCAGGAATCTCAAAGAAAACATCCCTTACAGGTGGCCAGCCAACCTCGGCTCAGGAATCGCCCCCGCTAGCAGTAGTGGCATTTATTAAATTTGTAGTTCACAGAGCAGTTCACAGCAGCAAAATACAAAACAAGAATGTACAAAGTATACATAATAAATCAAACACAAGCCAACACACGCTCCCACAAATGCGTTTTAAAAGCTGTAGAATGTCAATCAGCTCCGCTGAAGAGAAATGCTTTCACCTGGCTCCTAAACATATGTAATGCAAGCACCAAGCAAACCTCCCCAGGGTTGCAGACAGTGTGCATCCGGCAAACGAAAGCATCCGTGGCAAGTGGCTACCCAACCTCTGCTTAGAATCATAGAATTGTACAGTTGGGAAGGGCACCATGGGTCATCTAGTCCAGCCCCCTGCAATGCAAGAATCTCAAAGCATCCATGGCAGATGTTATTTTAAAAGCCTTCTTGCAGAATACTAATATATATATATTCAGACACCCGCACAGAATGCTGGCAAGGAGCCATGAATATTAGCTCGAAACATTCCAAAGCAGTTAGTGTCTGTTAGTCATGAAAAAGATTACAGTGAAAGAGAAGCAGACTTTTCACATATTCATAGTTTCAGGAGTTACTGTTAATGGTTCTTAACATATTACACAGTTTATCACTTGTTAAGAGAACAAATGATTATTGTTAGATTTTCAGTAGTTATTCACCAATTATGTGCTAACTGGCAGCCTTCTGTAGTAAAATTTCTATCTGAACTTCTGCTGGGCTCTGGCAAAGCAACACTGTTCTTTACACGTAACCACAAGATGGCAGTGCAGGAGAACATATTAAAAACAAATATTGATGACAGGCAACTAGTATTTTGATGCTAGCAGGAAAGAGGGATCCAGAGTATACCTGTTGAATAGTGGGTAGACATGGCAGACAACACAGCGATTTCTCCAGAGCAGCTCTTTATTTTGTAAGCTGGAACAGGAACTGAACAGCAAACAGCTCAGCCGGCCTGCTTTTATAGGCAGCCAGCTGTCAACATTGTAGCAACAACAACCCAGGGTTTCCTGCCTAAAATAACTGATGTGGACCTGAGTGAAAACTACGATTGTTAGTTACAATCGTAATGGTTTCCTTATATACAGCACTACACATAATGATTCAATAAGGCACAAAAGCATATCGGTTACATTTCCCATACTTAGACCAACAGTGATACATGTCCAACAACATAGTCCTTTAAATAAGTTGGGCGCTTGGAAACTCTGCCAGACCGCCGGGGACTGGTAGCCAAGTCCGGGGGGCCACACAATTCTTGCTGAGGCTGTGGTGCGACCCTAGGTGGCGTTGAAACCAAATCCCCTGGATCCGCTGCTGTGGGTGGAGCCTCCGCAAGTGGAGTGGTCTGAGTCTGTGGTAAGTCTGGCAGACCCTCTGAAGCGGCTTGGTTCGGCTCCATGCTGGCAGTTTGCGAGGGAGGTGTAGGTGGAGCCTCGCCATCTGTAAGTGTCTCTTCTGGAGCCACAAGCGCAGTTGGGGGCACCACGGTAGTGTCGAAGTCCCCAACCCTGCGCCTAAGCTGGTCTATGTGCCGGCGCCACAAGCGTCCATCTTCGAGTGCCACCTGGCACGAGCGAGGTCCAGTGACTCCCACTACTGTGGCTGGCACCCAAGGAATGTCCCCCACATAGTTCCGGGCAAAGACCTGGTTTCCTGGAACAAATGACCGTGGCGCGTTGGCACAGCCTGGGGGTTCGGCCATGGCAAAGTCCGGGTGCAGCCGGTCAAGCGGTGACCTGAGGTGGCGGCCCATAAGCAGTTCAGCAGGACTCCGCCCTGTGGCCGCATGAGGGGTGATGTGTTGCACGAACAAGTATTCGGCGACCCACTCGTGCCAGTCTCCCCGGTCCAGGCGCGCCAGTGCCTCTTTTGCCAAGCGCACCATTCTCTCCGCTTGCCCGTTGCTGGATGGATGAAAGGGTGCCGTTAGGGCATGGCGGATGCCCAGTCCCAAAAGATACCGCTCAAAAGTGCCTGACGTGAACTGCGGTCCATTGTCGGAGACAAGGACATCAGGACACCCATGCGTCGCAAACAGGCCTCGCAGCACCTGGATGACAGCCTCGGTAGTGGTGGAGGGCATCAGGGCGACCTCCAGCCATTTGGAATAGGCGTCCACCACTACCATAAAGGTCCGGCCGTGAAAGGGGCCAGCCAGATCGATGTGCACCCTCGACCAGGGTGTCTTTGGCGTCTCCCAGGTGTGTCCCTTAGCTGCCAGTGGTGCAGGCCTCGATTCTTGGCACGCTTGATAGGCGGACACCCAGGCAGTGATGGCATCATCCATGTTAGGCCACCAGACGTAACACCGAGCCAACGCCTTCATTTTGACAATTCCCAGGTGGCCAAAGTACAGAGCCTCCAGGACGCATTGACGGAGTCTTTGGGGAATCACGACGCAGTCTCCCCACAGCAGACAGCCGAGATGAGCCGAGAGTTCATGTTGTCTGGTTGCAAAGGGCTGGAACTCCGATGCAAAAGGCCCTTGTGGCCACCCCCTCCACACCCAGTTGAGCACACGGCTGATGGTGCGATCCTGGGCAGATGCGGAGGCCACAGTGGCAGCCGATACAGGCGCTGCCAGAAGATCCTCAATCAGGAGGAGCGATGAAGCTGGAGCCGGGTCTTCCACAAATGCTGGAAGAGGGCAACGGCTGCGGGCGTCAGCATGGCCCATCGATTTCCCCGGGCGATGGACAAGCCGGTAGTGGTAGGCAGCCAGGAAAACAGTCCATCGCAGCATGCACGGTGAGAGGACCGGTGGAGTTGGACGATCACCGGCGAGGAGGCCCAGGAGCGGCTTGTGGTCAGTGATGAGGTCAAAAGTCCTGCCATAGAGGTATTCATGGAACCTCTTCACTCCAGCCACAAGTGCCAGTGCCTCCTTGTCAAGCTGGCTATAATTCCGTTCCGTTGGAGATAGCGTCCTGGGAAAGTAGGCGAGCGGTGCTTCTCTTCCGTCTGGAAAACGGTGACTAAGGACAGCGCCAATACCAAAAGGTGAGGCGTCACAGGCAAGGACCAGCGGTCTGGCTTCACTGTACTGTACCAGCACACTGTCCGATGAAAGGAGAGCCTTGACCGTGTTGAAGGCTGCCGTCTCCCGATGACCCCAGGACCAAGGCGTCCTTGTGCTGAGGAGTCGGTGAAGAGGCTCAGCCACCGTGGCTTTGTGGGGCAGCCCCAGGAACGCCTGCAACTCCGTCTTGTTCTTTGGGATGGGGGCCTGCTGGATAGCGCGGATCTTGGATGTGGTCGGGTGAAGGCCGGAGGCGTCGATAAGATAGCCCAGGAACTCTACCTGTGGAACGGCGATCTGGCACTTCTCCCTCTTTACCTTGAGCCCGGCCTCTTGGAACCTGGTCAGCACGGCACGGAGGCGTTCGAACAGCTGCTGGTGTGAGTCTGCGGACACCAAGACGTCATCAAAATATGGTACCACGCCCGGAAGCCCTTGCAGGAGACGCTCCATAAGGCTTTGGAAGATGCCAGGAGCCACACTCACCCCGGACTGCAACCGGCGGCAACGGAATGCCTCTCGGTGGGTGACGATCGTCTGGGCTTCAGCAGTGGCATCATCGACGGGCAGTTGTTGATAGGCTTGGGCAAGGTCCAGCTTAGCGAAGACCTTACCCTCACCCAGGGAATGCAGCAGGTGTTGAACAACAGGAACCGGGTAAGCGTGCTGCTGAAGTGCCTTGTTGATCGTGCACTTGTAGTCGGCGCAGATTCTCACTGACCCGTCTGGCTTGACAGGCGTGACGATGGGGGTTTCTCACTTGGCGTGGTCAACCGGCTCCAAAACTCCTTGGGCGATCAGCTTGTCCAGTTGTTCATCCACCTTAGCCTTGAGAGCAAAGGGAACCCGGCGTGGCTTTAGCTTGATGGGGGCGACTTGTGGATCAAGGCTAAAGGAGATGGGCGTACCTGTATATTGCCCCAAAGTGCCATTAAAAACCTCGGCAAAGTCTTTGACCAGACCCCCAGTCTCTGCGTTAGAGACTTCCAGGCCGAGGGCATCAAACCAGTCTAGCCCTAGGAGGCTTGGCCGCTGACCTTCGACCACCACCAGTCGGAGCAGGCCCGAAAAATCCTTGAAGGCAATCCGGAACCGGCCAACGCCTACCACGGGAATGTCGTTTCCCTGGTAGTCTCTCAGGTGTACGCGGTGAGAGTCGAGTTGCCTTTTGGACACTCTGGGTACCAATCTTTTGATGGTGCTCCAAGACACGATGGACAGGGCAGACCCGGTGTCAATCTCCATGTCACATGGAGCTCCTTCAATGAGCACCGTGACGTTCAACTTGCGTCGCGTAGGCGAGTCAGTTTGGCCAATCGTGGTTCCAGACGGGCAGCGGCAGTTGGTGAGAGCGAAACAGCTTTCCTTGGCAGACTGGAGTGAAGACTTGGACTTGCGAGTCGGTGAAGGGGGGTGTCAGACAGAGCCGATCGGCAGACCTTAGCGATGTGGCCCCTTCTGGAACACTTCCTACAGATGGCGTCTCTGAATCGACACTTGGCACGGGAATGGTTGCCTCCGCAGCCGGCACATTCCGGTTGGCCCTTGGACTTCTGTTGGAACTTCCTGCGCTCCCGCTTTGTCTGGTGCACATCATCGTCTTCACTGGAGGATGCCTCATCACTGCTGGCCTCTTCATGATGCACTGGAACTGGCTTCCTAGCAAGACACGGGCTGCTGGTTCAGCAGCTTCTGAGGCCACAGCGTAAGGTCTGGCTTGGCGAGGAGACGCCGTTGCAGATGGATGTCCTGGACCCCGCAGATGATTCGATCCATCAGGGCATCGTCTAA